AAACAAACTGATCGATTCGTTGAAAAACGTTGAAATTGCATATTTTTCCAACTGATTTTGATGAATTTTTGTTGTTAGCAAGCAATTCTGTTCAATAATATATAAAAATGCTATTTGATCGTTGAAACAATGGAATATTATTAAAATTTGCGAATGCAAAATCAAAAAAATATAAAATATCGAATGTTTAGATGAGATTTTGAAATATAATAAATGAAATATGAAATACCAGTCCTTATATTGCCCACATTTCCTTCCTAGTCCTGCTTGTAATTGCAGAGCGATTGTTTAATTTCCTCTTATTTTACTAATTTAAAAATTACCGATATTGCTAACGACAATCAGTCACCTAATGCCATGTTACGATTACATCGACGGCAATAAGCGTATTTATCATTGCATTCCTATTCGCAGTTATGGATTAAATCATATTCATATGCGGAAAATACATATTCATTTAATGTTTATGATTTACTAAGTACAAAATATTATGTAAATTTATATGCAAAAATAAATGGATAATAATTTCTAATAACAAGTAGTTGCACATAAAGTGATGAATTTAATGTTAAAATTGAATTGGACAAATTATGATTACGGTAATGATTGAGAAGAAATTTATTCTTTTTTCTTCTTTTTAAAGTTATTTACTTTTTTAACAAAATAATAAAGAAAAAATTTTACTTCGTTTTTACTTCAAATTTATTGTTAACTTTATTTCATTCCAATAATAATTATTTTGTTTATTTATTTCCAAAAATAATTAACATTTTTTACCCATCCAAATATTATAATTTCCAATTAGCCAAATCATTCGAAATGAATTCAAAATTTTTTTCTAATAAATTCAAAATTTTGGGATATACTTTTGACATTCAATCAAGAATTAGTGAACAAGGCACAGATGGCGAAAAAAATTGGTACCAATATATTAAGCCAACACAATACAATAATTTATAGTCCTGAGAAGGCAATTATTTCTCTTATTAATATTTCTGTGTCAATGATATCTGATATCGATTTCATTATGGATTTTACTGTAGAATATAGCTTTTCATCCGAACTTTTATGCAATTTCATGTGGGTATTCAAATTACATTTCAGATTGAACTTCTTACCACATGCTTCACATTCGAATGGCCGCACGTTTCCATGCGCCAATTGATGTCTCTTCAGATTGCTAGACGTTCCGTGTTTTATTGCACACGTTACACTTGAATGGTCGTTCGTTTCCGTGCGTCAATCGGTGTCTCCTTAGATTCCTGGATTCTCTGAATGTTTTATTGCACACATAATTGAATGGCCGTTCATTTCCGTGCGCCACTTGGTGCCTCTTCAGTTCGCTAGACCGTTGGAAAGTCTTATTGCACACGTGACATTCGAATGGTCGTTCGTTTCCATGCATCAATTGCTGGCTCTTCATATTGTCGCATCTTTGGAATGCTTTACTGCATACCTTACATATGTAATTTTTTTCATTAGTATGTACCATCTTATCATGTTTCAGAATGCTTGAATATCCGATTTGCTTATCGCATACTTCACATTTGCTTATCGCATACTTCACATTTATTTAATTACCTGATTCATTCGTTTCAAGACTTCATTACCATTCTTCAATTGTTCCACCACTTTCTGCTCGATGACGGCAAATTCCAAATCATTCACCTTTAACAGTTCTTCCATTTTGAGGTAGCCGTTGAAAAATTTTTGTTAAATTTTTACCACTTACTTCTTATCCGTTTAACATTAGAAATGTGAAAAATTATAAAACCAAAAACAAAAGAACTGAATTGCTTGAAGCCGCAAAATACATAAAACGAATTATACACAAATAATTCAGTGCTGAAATTTAAATCGTTAATTTCATCGGAAAGCAGTATTTTCTGCACATTATAGCTATAGTTTAAAAAAAATGGTATATGTTTATCAGTGCTGTTCAATTTGTTTTTATATTTTTCGAATTTTAATTTTAGTCAAATGGAAAAATATTATTGCTTTATTGATGCTAACAGCCAATGTTCAAATTTTCAAACAATGATATCTGTACAATGTCTCTGATTATTGCTGCTAAAAATTAACAGGAAAATAATAATCAAATATATAAGCAAATCATTTTGAGTTATTTCAGGTATCAAATGAAGGCGATGAGGCAATACAAGAAGCAACAAGTAATGACGACGAAATAAAGACTACAGCTGATGATGGGAAAGCGAACGAAAAACGATACAAATGTGAGGTATGCATAAGTTCGGATAAGCAATTCGGATGTTCAGGCAATCTGAAACGCCATAGGGTGGTACATACCGATGAAAAAAATTACATATGTGAGGTATGTAATAAAGCGTTCAAAAGGTTCAGCGATCTGAAGAGCCACCAATTGATGTATGGAAACGAACGACCATTCAAAGGTGACGTATGCAATAAAACATTCAAACGGTCCAACGCTCTGAAGGTACATGAACAGACGCACGGAAACGAACAATTATTCGAATGTTACGTGTGCAATAAAACATTCAAAGTATCCAGGAATCTGAAGAGACACCAATTGTCGCATGGAAACGAACAAATATTCAATCTTTTCACATTCAAATCTGGTGCCGAAGGTTTGCTCGAAGAATACCTGAAATTCTTAACGACAATTAATTTAAATCCTAATAATTTAAAATAATTCTATACTTCAAACTTTTTTAATAAAAATGCTTCATCGTTTTTTAGTGATGATCACATATTAATTCATTGTGTATTCTCTTCGAATGATTCCATTCTTTTCCGAGTTGAAAGGATTTGGTAGCAATTCTGAACAATGCTGCCAGTTATAATCACATTTACATGAAACTATTATTATCCATGAAACTATTATTAACTAACAAAAAATTTTAGAGTGGAGTGAAAATTATTATGCGAAAAGACTGGAACTTTGTGATTATATTTGGTCATAGATCATACGGCTTAACCGGAATGCATAAAAGCGGTCCTTTCAGTTAATACGACAAATATCATTTCATTAGATTGGTTGTCTGCTAAAAATACTTTTTCGAAAAGAATTCAACGATTTCCACATCTCATCATTGCGTCATTGCATCATGCACCTGTCATATTATTTCGTATTGCTTGTTTTGCCGTTGTACGCCGCGCAAATAACGGTATGTGAATATGATACTGCTTCTCAGTCTATAGATCAAATATTTAGAGAATTTTAATTTTAGCTAAAGACAAAAATAGCTGCGTCTTATGAAGAAAAATTATTCATATCTATTTCTCTGTTACGTCTAGCAGGAATGAGAAACGACGACGAAATAAAAACTATGGCTGATGACGGAAAAGCAAACAAAAAACGGTACAAATGTGAAGTATGCAGTAAGCAATTCGGGTATTCAGGCGCTTTGAAACGCCATAAGATAATACATACCGGTGAAAGAAATTACATATGTACGGTATGCAATAAAGCGTTGAAAAGGTCCGACGATCTGAAAAGCCACCATTTAACGCACGGAAACATACGACCATTCAAATGTGCTGTGTGCAATAAAGCTTTCAAACTGCGCCGCTATCTGAAAGAACATATGAAGATACATGCGGACATTGAAAAGATATTGAAATGCGACGTATGCGGTAAAGCATTCAAATGGTCTAACAATCGGAAGAGACACAAATTGACACACAGAAACGAACGACCATTCAAATGCTACGTGTGCAATGGAACATTCAAAAGGTTCAACAATTTGAAGAAACACCATTTGACGCACGAAAACGTACGACCATTCAAATGTGAAAGTTGTGGTAAGACCTTTATTCGAAAGAATAATTTGAACGTACACATTAAAAGGCATAAAAGTTCGGATGAAAGGCTATATTTTGCAGCAAGCTCCTTAATGATATCGATAGCAGATGATATCACTGACACAGAAATATCAATAAGAGAAATAATTGCATTCGCAGGACTGTAAATTATTTTATTGTGTTGGCATAAATTATATTTGTAACAATTTTTTTCGCCATCTGTGCCTTGTCCACTATTTCTTGATTGAATCTCAAAAGTATAGGTAGAATTTTGAATTTATTAGTAAGAAAATTTTGAATTCAATCCGAATGATATGATTAATAAGAAATTTTAATGTTTGGATGGGTAAAAAATGTTTGCATATAATATTAAAATGCTTGAAAGATTATTAAGTAGAAAAATCAAACGTGCAAGAAAAGTATTAAGAAATTTCGTAATGAAAATAATTCTAATTTTTTATATTTAACTATAAGAAGACATAAATTTTGTACAACATATTATTTCTGCTTGTTGTATTTCGGCAAGAATAAATGTCGTCTCCAATGTTGTGATCACAGTTCAATATGTGTTATTTACAACTCGCCTTCAATCACTCTTACGGATGCTGTGGATGATCTTCAAAAAGTGAATCTCTAAAGGAAATGCACATTCCAAAATATGCTTCTTGATGCTAGCAGCCAATGTTCAAATTTCCAAAATTTTAAGTACAATTTCATCGATCACTTTTTACATTCAATCAGGAAATAGCGCACAAAGAACAAATGGCAAAGAAACAGTACAAATATAACTTAAGCCAACACAATACAATAATTTATAGTCCTGCGAATGTAATTATTCCCCTTATAAATATTTCTGTGTCAATGTAATCTGATATCGATATCTTTAAAGAGTTTGCTATAGAATATAGCTTTTTTCTCTTACATTTATGCGCATTCACGTGTTCCTTTAAATTATTCTTTCGAGTAAAAGTCTTACCACAAGTTTCACATTTGAATGGTATTACGTTTTCGTGCGTCAGCTTATGTCTCTGCAGACTGTCGAACCTCCTGAATGTTTCACTGCACACGTGACATTTGAATGGTCGTACGATTCCGTGCGTTAAGTCGTGTTTCTTCAAATTATCGGACCTTCTGAATGTTTCATTGCACACGTGACATTTGAATGGTCGTACGATTCCGTGCGTTAAGTCGTGTTTCTTCAAATTATCGGACCTTCTGAATGTTTCATTGCACACATGACATTTGAATGGTCGCTCTTTTCCATGCGTCAATTTGTGCTTCTTCAGATCGTTGGACCTTTTGAACGCTTTATAGCATGCATTACATGTGTAATTTCTTTCATCGGTATGTACCACCTTATGGTGTTTCAGAGTTCCCGAACATCCGAACTGCTTACCGCATACTTCACATTTGTACCGTTTTTCGTTTGCTTTTCCGTCATCAGCCACAGTTCTTATTCCGTTGTCGTTTCTCACTGCTACTTGTATTACCTCATCGCCTTCATTTGATATCTGAAATAACCCAAAATGATTTGTTTATATATTTCATTATTATCTTCCTGTGAATTTTGAACAGCAATAATCAGAGGCATTGTGCAGATATCATTGTAGAATCTTTGAATGGAAACAATTAACTTCTATATTTTAAAAATAGCTCGATGAATTGTATTAGTAATTTGGAAAAAGTATCAGTTGTGCTATATCGTGACAGTTAATTTGAGACAGAAGGATTAACAGAACGATGCAATAAAAATCATTTGGCGATTTAATGCGCAAACTTTTTGCGTTTCGCTTTTGGTATTTGTTATAGTAAATGAATACAAAATGCTGAATAAAATGGCAGAGAAATAGATAAGATATGAAAAAGTAAATTTTTTTCATACGAAGCAGCTATTTTTGTCCTTAGCTAAGATTAAAATTTTGTAAATATTTATTTCTTATACTGAGAAGCAATATTTTATTCACATACCGTTATTTGCGCGACGTACAACGGCAAAACAAGCATTACCAAATAGTATGATAGATACATGATCGAGAAATGTGGGATGTGGAAGTAGTCAAATTCTTTTCGAAAAATTTTTTTTGCAGAGAACCAATCTAATGAAGTGATGTTTGTCTCAGTATTAACTGAGAGGACCGTTTTTATACCTTCCGGTAATCCGCATGGTGTATGGCCATGTATACTCGCAAAGCTCCAGTCTTTTTGCAAAATAATTTTAACTCCACTGCACTTTAAAATTTTTTTTAGTTGCACTGAATAATAATAGTTTTATGCAAATGTGATTATAACTGGCAGCATTGTTCAGAATTGTCGCCAAATCTCTTCAATTCCGAGTAGAATGAAATCATTCGAAGAATATTCACAATGCAATCATCACCAAAAACCGATAAAGCATTGCTATAAAATAATTTGAAGTACCGTAATGTACATAGAATACTGTTTTTCGATTGAATAAGATCTTTTAAATTTTGGCAATAAAATATTCCAGTATAATATATTTCACAATTCAGAATTCAAAATCAAAAAATATAAAATATCGAATGTTTAAATGAGATTTGAAATATAACACATAAAATATAAAATATAGCAAAACTGAAATAGAGAATATATAAAACATAAAATACAATAATCAATATAGAATGCATAATTGTGAAGAGTGGTAAAATATAAAATACAATAAAACGTTCTGGCAGTTTATCTTTGGTTGTTCGGATGAAGTCGAAACAATAATTATATAAAATTTTATAATATTTTGAATATTGTTATAACTTATTTACGATGCAAAATGCCTTCAAATACTCTTCTTTATTTCGATTAATATTTCAAAGAGAAATCTGAAATTATGGAAGTATTTAATGCTCGAAATAATAAAAGGTCAAAGAGGCATTTATTCGCTGCAAAATTTAATCAAATTCGAACAACTACCCAAAAAATTATTAGTTTGCGATTGAGAAATTTGTATTTAAATGAATTAATTGATTTATTGTTTATTTTTCAATTTTGATAATCTTCGATATACTTTAATATTTATACATGCGGATATGTTTGATGACAAATTTTTTCAATGCATTTATATTTTCGATGAATGCTAGTCATAAAATTTCATACTGAATCGATTTATATCAGAAGAATGTATTACCTTGACAGTTGTTCGAGGAGACAATCGTTTCACTTTTTTACTTGTTGTTTGTTTCTCCTCTTTCCCACATTCATTCCGATACCTTTGCATCAAAGGTAATTTTAAAATTTCAAACTTCTATTCATTTATATTGGGATATTTTATTGATCTCCTTGAAGAAAAAGTGCTACAATTTCTTTTCTCTTGTTTTCTCTTCAACATCATTTAAAATTCGACATAGGATTTGAAACTTCATCTAATCGAAAATGGAAATGATTGATTCAACGAACATTCAAACCACTCACTTACGATCATAAAATAAAGATAAGTGAAATATCTGTCTCATTTCAAATTTAAAAACTTTTGGATGAACTTAATTAACACTGTCTCGTTTCAAAGTTAGCACTGTTGATTCAAACAGAATTACGCTGTTCGAAAATTAATTTTTACTTTGAAGTTATTAAAAAGATATGTCAATTTATGAAATTTTTTAATTCCATTATTTTCTTCCACAAACTTTTGCTTATTTTATTAATTAATATTAAATGAAAAATTATATGAAGTGAAGTCGATGTATAATTAATTAGGTATAATTACAAAAAGGTAGAATTACCAAAATTAAATTAATTTTAAATCGTCCTCATCAATACTGAAATGTAAAATATTTCAATTATTTTTAAAAATAGATATAAATATGAAATCATAATTAATTGCACCTTTTGAAAGATAAGAAATTTCAAATGGAAAGATTTGCGTTAGAATTAACCCGTTGTAAATATGCTGAACAAAATATCAGTCCCTTAGTTCTACATTATCAATTAGTTATTTTAATTGAATTACAAATGACATCATATATATATATATAAATGTCGCGAAAGATGAAAATGACACGAATGTTCAAAATGGGATATATTTTTATAATTGCTAACAAATGGTTGATGATATAATGCCGAGAATACTCGCGGGTATATTAAAATCCGTTGATATATGAATAGCATGATCAATAATGGAAAATTTTGGTTTCACCAAATTGTATTTCAATTTTTCCATTGATAATTCAATAATAAGTCCATTTGATAACTCATTATTAGCTGTCTGCAAAATAAAATTATATTATGCATGTAAATTTTACTGATAAGCTGATATTTCAACAGAAAAGATATCATTTGAAATTTTTTTTAAATTTAACTTTGTTATAAAACATTCAAAACTATTTATTGTAAAATTAAATATTCAAAGTGTATTATCAGAAAATTTTATTTCCTAATATATTTTCATATTGTCATTATATTTGCATATTATCAATATATCTGCATGCTATTAACATATTATTATATTATCAATATGTATATATCAGTATATTCATAGTATATGCTTCACGTTATCAGCACATTTCTGTATTATCAGTGTTTATCTATCTTATCACTGTGTTTCTGTATTATCATTACAATAAATTTGCGTATTATCAATAGGTTTATTTTTAACCAAAAAACAAAAAGATGAGAATAGATAATTAAAGAATAGATAACCTGAGCGATGACATCTTTGGATAAATTAGCTAAATTATCCAATGCATCTGGCGAGAGTTGAAGAGTATTATCCTTATCAACCAATTTCAATGATTTAATTTCGACTTGAATATTAACTCGATTTGCTGATATATGAATATTTCCATCAATTATACTACTAATAAGCATTGTACCAATTTTTTCACCGCTATCATCAATATATAATACAGCTTCAAGTTCCAAATCTACTCTTACTGTACCTATAAAGAAAAGCCATGGGATATTTAATATTAAAAAAGTGAGATGAAACAATACGACTACATCATTTAACATTATTAATACTTCGATGTACGATAAAGTAAGCGAGAAGAAATATTACGGTAAATGAAATTTCTTGAAAAGATAAAAACAACTTACAGTACAAATATTTTCTTGCTATAATTAAATTGAAATGATTAAAGTAACTCTTTAAAAATTATTATCAATATATTTTTTAGTTATCAAAACTTATCATTTTTATCATTTTAGGATTTTTTTGTCACAAATTAAATACCATGTATTTTCATTTTTATTGCGTTATTTATTCAATAATTCATTCTATTTATAATTAATTCATTTCTACTTCTAATTAATTTATTTCCATTTCCAATTATAATAAAATTTATTACTGTTTTAATTAAATAATATTAATGATATTAAAAAAATGATAAATTTTATAATATATGTATTTCAATTGTATTCCGAATTAATAAATATTTTTCCAATTCTAGGGAGATATGCATCCATATAAGAAGCAAAATAATATCAACTAACCATTACGTTCAGCTGATAGTGTTATAGTTGGTGTACGCTTGGAATAAATTTTGATATGCATTAATTTTTTCGGATATTTATGTTGGACAGCTGGCATGATATCACCTATGCATATTTCCAAACCATTAAACATTTCTTTTTCCTCGTTGCTTTCCATATTATCATTTTTATCATTATCACTATCATCATTCGCAGCGTTTCGTTTTCGACGTTTTATAAATTTCGCTATTGTTATTGTTGAATTTTCGTCATCATCAAAATCTTCATCTTCCTAAAGAATGAAATTTTAATTACATTTTGATTAAAATATTGGATGGTAAATGTTATACAATATATTAAAATAACTGATTCAAAAATATTACTCAATAATTCTTCAAATATTAACATATCATCAAGCTTATTCAAAAATATTACTCAATAATTCTTCAAATATTAATATCATCAAGCTTATTTCTGATAAAGCAAATGTATAACATAAATTTAAATTCATTTGCAAAATTTGAATTGAATAAAATTCGTAATTAAGAAATTACATTATAATTGCTATTCAAATTTAATATATCGTCAAACTTATTCAAATTTTAATATATCATCAAGCTTATTTCCAATAAACAGATGCATAACATTAAATTAAATTCATTTCCAAATTTGAATTGAATTAAATTCAAAATTAAAAAGTTACATTACATTTACATCAAAATTACCAAAATCGTCGTAATCATCATCAGCACATGTTGTTTTTAAAAATCTACCCAATTTCGGTGTTTCAGGACCAATACGAAACATAATTGCATCATTCCGGAAATTAATTACAATTTTCACCTTTTAATTCTTAATGAAACAATTTTTACCTTCCCACTATTTGTATAATTAATTATACATGAGTTTTCTCTAAGACAAAATTAAGAATTAACTCTTGCTATGACATTTATAGTGTTTTTGTTCTACGAAGTTTTCATATGTTGTAAAAATTTCCTATAAATTTAAATATTTTGAAAAAATATAAAAAAGAATGAAAAAATTTTTGTTTATAGAAACTATTTACATTTAAACAGAAATATCAAATTTAAGTGAAATTTAAATTTAAATAATCATTAAATTTCATAATAACTTATGCATATGATATAAAAGTGAATTAATCGTGTAATCACTGATTAATACATCCAACATTCGTTTTTTACTTCCGTTGTAAAATTGTTGGAAATGCATTGGAAATGGATCAAATAGTTTCTCATCCATTTTTCCTTCTGTATTAAGAGCTGCACGTAAGCCAAGATGAAAATAATCAAATGTTGCAGATACTTTAGTTAAACGCATATTTAGCATTGCATTGGATAAAATCTAAAATAAAATTTGAATAGATAAATTAGTTTAGAAAATCTGAATAGATAAATTAGTTTAGAAAATTTTCGTTTCAAAATGAAATTAATAAAATTTGTAGAAGAGAAAAACAATGCAAAAAATTGATAAAATAATATGAAATAATTTTAAATTACTGTTTGTGATAAAATCTGAATGAATATCATATTGGGGAAATTTTGATTAAGTAACTTACGATAGTATGAATAAAACTGATAACAGTTGATAATTTTTACTGATATTTTTGATAAAAATTTCATAAAATATTATTTTTAGAGAATCCAACAACGAAAAGAAAAAGTATTATGCGTAAAATTAATTTTCAACTTTTTCCTTCACTAATATATCATTTTAATGTTGAAAAATAGTGGGAAAAGTTGAAAATTTTTAATAAAGAAAATTAACAATTTATTTATTTATTTTTTTGCTAAAATTATCTTTAAAAAAACCTACCTCATTAATATGTTTAATTAAATTGTCTAAATTTTGAAAAGGAATTGATTTATTGATAGAATAGCAATCAGCGCAAGGATCCAAAAAATTTGGCGCATCTATTTGACTTGGTGATAATGTGATACTTTGTGATGTTTTTGCATGTGTTGAAGATAACTGATACAGTGATGGCATATCACTTACTTTATCCATATTCTGAAAGTACAATCATTATGCTAATTATTTATCTTACTTATTGCTTGCAATTAATTACCCAATAAATTATTTTGTAAATTCTATTCTTTTTGTTTTTTAATTTATTTAGTAATTCTCATTAAAATTTTTTTCAATTGTTTTTGTTTATTTCATTAAAATTATTAAAGAACTATTTCATTCCTAAAATTTTATTTGGTATAAATATTAAAAAAAGCTTACCAAATGTTCATTTACATTTATCAACATATTATATTTCATTAATTGATTATTTCAATTCTAAAATTTTAGACTACTTTGTTTCATAATTTATCCAAAAAACAAAAATATTTTTTTAATCATTAAATTAACCATTTGATTAATAGTATTGGTTAATAGTAACCAACCATTTGATCAATAGTATTGATTAATAGTAACCAATCATTTGATTAATAGTATTGATTAATAGTAACCAACCATTTTGTTTAATAGTAAATTGATTAATAGTAACCAACCATTTGATTATAATAGTATTGATTAATAGTAATCAACCATTTGATCAATAGTATTGATTAGTAGTAACCAGTCATTTGATTAATAGTATTGGTTAATAGTAACCAGCCATTTCATTAATAGTAAATTGATTAATAGTAACCAACCATTTGATTATAATAGTATTGATTAATAGTAACCAACCATTTGATTAATAATAAATAGAATAGTAACCAATCATTAGATTAATAGTATACTTATATATTCTTTATGACTTACATCATTATACTTCATTTCCATCGTCAATGATTTTTGATTATTTACATTTCCAGTAAACATAGATTTAGTATCGGATACGGTGGATAAATTTACTGTTGAAATCGGAAAATGAGTGATTGTTGCATGATTTTGAATTTTTTCCCTACACAGTGGCATGCGACACTGAAAAATTAGTTATTTATTTATTTCAAATCAGTTATGCAACGATTTTAATTTAATAAGAATTTTTAAAACAAAATGTTTGTTATCACAATATGCCGCATTAAAATAATCTACTTATAATAAATTTGTATATACTTATAATAAATTTGCACATATGATTTTCAATTTGGAATACTAAACTTATCAAAAATTATCATCATTTTACATTTGGAATCAAACTTAATGAATGGGAATACTTTAGGCATTTTAATTATTCATGTTAATAACAATATCACTTCATAATTAAAATTAATTAAACATTCCCGTAAATATTTCATTGTGATATTGTTAACCATTTTTTTCCTCTAATCCCTTTTTCTACCTACCAGCTTTATTTCGTAATGAATACCTATAATTGCATAATGATTCTAACCTTTTTCTTTTCCTCTACTCCCTTATTTTACCTGCCAACCTTGCTTTGTAATGATACCTATATATTTGCATAAATGTTAATTTTCTTGAAACTTTGAATGAATTAAATTTTTAAACTTACAGGTTTCGTAAAACCAATCAGTTTAATGCTATTAATAGTTGTTTTACCGAAATTAAATAATTTACTGAATGAAATTATTTTTGGCATATTCCGAAATGGTGCATTTATTTTTCTCTTAACGATATTTCGTATAATTTTACAAACTCTAAATGATAATTGCTTCCGAATTTGTTCTGTTCCATTACTCTAAAAAAAAAATATTCAATAAAATTATCATTATATCTTCGTTATCATTATCAATTATCATTATATTCATATCTTTACCTATTAAAATTAATGATACTATTTTAAATAATGTATTTTATGATGTTGTAACATGAATGTAACAGATGTGTTAAAATTAAATAAATGATAAAAGCTGTAAATTACAATTATTTCATTTGCAGTATTTGAATTGAATAACGCATTATTATCGTCATTTCCAGTAAATAAGTTACCATATTATTTATTTCACTACATTTATCATTGTAATTAAGTAATCACTGTAATTATTACACCTGATCATTGTAATCAAGTAAGCAATAACGAGTTAAATGTAGGAACACTATTATCATTTATCAATTTACCCGAAAATATGTGTTGAAAATATTTCCGATAAGATCATCATTTTGTAAAAAAATATCGCTAAAACCAACAGATACATGGCATCCAATAGTACGAACATATAGAGATCCATTTAATGTACGGTAAACGAAAAATCGAACTATTGCCGAAATCTACAATTTCTATTTTAAATTTAATTAATCAATTTCATTATAAAACAAACAATTTCCAGATAATGAACTGGGAAAACAAAAATTTAGGAATATAAGGTGAATTATTTGTAAAAAAATAATCTAATAATATTTCAAAATTAAATTTTACAAAATGATATAAAATATAATCAATAATTTTAAACCTGATGGATACGTAGATATACAGTATTATTGAGTTTAATAGGTAATAATACTCTAATTTTACCATTAATATTTCCTCTTATCCTGAAATTACAATCTTTTCCTTTTTGTTTTCTTTTGATTGCCATTTACATAAAACAATTAATTTGATAATCTTTTAACAATAATCATATCAAAACGAAGAAAAGAAATGAAATGTATCATTGAAATTTTTAATACGAATTATTTAACATGCATTTTCAATTTAGTAAAACTAATATTAGACAAAAACATTATTACTTTATATTTATATGAATCCTAAATTTTAAATTTTAAATTTTAAAACAAAAAGAAAGCAAAACAAATATGAAAGTATTAAAAATTGTGATACAACCATTATTAAACTGAAAAGGGTGAAAATTATTAAACTATTAAAAGTTTTAATAAATTATATGAATAGTTAAAAATAACATAAATTACCTTTATAATACTTACTCAAGATCGAGATTTTGAATGACGAAAATTAGACGATTAGGTGGTGAAGGAAGAAGAGATACCAATTTTGGACATTGATATCGTAAAATGACCAAATTCGAAATCGTAATACAACCATTAAACTGAAATTAATTGTAATACACCGAAATTGTAATACAACCATTAAACTGAAATTAATTATTTTTGTCTTAAAACAATCATTAGTTTGTATTTTTAAAAAAATATTTCATTTCTTAAGATAATTCAACATATTTACCTGTTGAAAGCATTGTTTTAGTATTAAAACCATTAAACTGAAACTAATTATTTTTGTTTTAAAACAATTATTATTTTATAAAGTTATATTTTTATATCTTTAGAAAAATGTTTCATTTTTTTTAAAATAATTCAGCATGTTGAAAATTTACAAATTTATTGTTTACCTGTTGAAAGCATCGTTTTAATGGTTGTAATCGTAATCGTTCAATTTCATTGTTAATAATTAGTTTAGCTAGAAGACTGGCATATAGGAAACCATTCGAATTAATTCGAAATTCCATTCCCGGTAAATTATGACGAACAACACGAAGTAAACGTGAACTGATATGTTGTTTATCATTGATAGTACTGGAACTGCAAAAATAACATTTCTATTTATCGTCAATTATTTTAATTTTATTCAAATGAAAAAAAAATGAATAAAATAATTATGAAATTATTCATTCATTAATGAAAATACATTAATTACTTCCTGTACTAAAATTAATTGAATTAATTTCAGTCAGCTATATTTTTAATGTCTGTAAATAATTTAGTCATAATCCTATCATCTGATTTTGATAACGAATAAGGATAATTTAAGAATTACAATGATAAATATCAATCGATTTATCCAGCTTCTTTCAGATACCTTACTTTATTTCAGTTTTTCATTTCTTCAACACCTTTTTTTGAATTGTTGAAAGTCATTTGTTTAAAATTAAATTAATCTTTCTTTTTGTTGCTTTTCTAATTATTTGAATTAATTGCATAAACAATAAACTAAATAGTAATAATTTCAAATATAAATCAATATAATGAACATATAATAAAAATAAATGATTTCTTAAAATAAAAAACAAAATTTTAAAATGAAATTAAATTTTAAATCGAATTAAATTTCAAATTGGAAGAAAAAAGAAATAAACAAATGAATATCAATAATAATTATAAATGAAGAATTGCAAATGTACTAAAATATAATTTTCTATGAAATTTCTCAAAAATTAGTTCATCGATAATTAAATAATTATTATTGGAATTAAATGAAAATATCATTTTCCCTTCCATTTTACTAATTTACTCATTCGCTTTCTTTTTTCCTGTTAATTATAATCTGAAATCATATTTATGTTTTCTTGAAATAATCAAATTTAGGAATTAAAAAAAGAGAAATGAGATAAAATTTGTTTAATAAACATTTAACCTATTCATTTTCTTAATATTATCAAAGATAAGATATTAAAAAGAAAAATAAAAATTGAAAAATTACTTTAATGAATCAGGTCTTTGTAATTGAAGCTTTTTTGATTGATTAATTGTTGATGATAACGATTGTAATTGTGCTTCCACTTTTAGGCCAAATAAGCCGATAAAGCCGATGATAAAGAGAAACTGAAAATTTGAATATTTGAAGTACAAATTTTGATAACATTAAATATTTCATATTATGATTTCTGATTGCTTATTTTAGTGTTTTTATTTTGTCATTCTTATATTAATTATATCGTTCATTCTGATCTTATCAGTGATTTGAAATTCATGGAACAATCACTTACTATCATTATTAATCATTCATTCTGATCTTATCAGTAATTTGAAATCTATGGAATAATAATCACTTACCATCACTATTAATCATTCATTCTGATCTTATCATTGATTTGAAATTCATAGAAATAATTACTTACCATCATTATTATTTTCATTGTTTCATATCCTTTCAACCAGTACTTTCATAGTCTTATTGAACTATTTGATTTTTCATCTTCCAATTATATACTTGCATTCTAAATAAACATTCATTTAACAATTGTTCATTCCAATTTCTTTTAAAGTTTTCATTTCAAATTTTCATCCATTACTCTTACCGCCTATCTTTACCTAATTGCATCTTCTATTGTTTTAATTTTTCTTTTTCCATTACATTTAAATTAAACCGGTTAATAGTCAGTTTCTCCGATCAAATAGTCAGCTTATTTCTTGTACCATTAGTGATATCGATATTTGAAATGAAAATAAAATCATTATACTTTTGAGGAAGTTATTATTATTGTTACTAATATTATTGTTGCATTTCTTCACAATACTAAGACAATAGATAATGCAATGTTAATGAAAGATTATGATGAAGTAATAGATAATGAATTAATGTTAGTAACAATAATAATAACAAAAAGAATAATAATAATAGTAATAATAATAACAATAATAATAACAATAATAATAACAATAATAATAATGATAATAATAATAATAATAATAATAATAATAATAATAATAATAATAATAAACAATATCAATTTTTTAATTTTTAAGATAATTATTGCAATTAATAGTAGCAATTATCACATTCCAATTTATGCAAAGTATTTATCGTAAAAATTAAAAATTGGTCTAATTTTGTTTCAATAGTTTATTCCAATTAGTCCAAATACATTTTACAAAAATAACTTTTTATTCCTAAATATATTTCATCTTTTAAAGTTACATCCACTCCTAGAACATCCAAATGCCAATAAATTTCGCATTTTCTACTTGCCAATGTATCTCATATATTGGTCCAACTAAGTAATATTTCAAATTCGTCACATTTTCTACCTCTTAAATAATTGCTTTTTATCAATTAACGCACCGTGTCCCCTGACCTCTAATTGTTACACCAGGTAGCATACCTCTTTTTAGTACTCATTCCAACACAATCAATAATAATAATATCTCTTCTGATATTTGTAAAATTATTTGCACTCATTATTGTTATTGTTACTATTATTATTGCTATCATTATTTATTATCACTATGATTTATTAATATTTTTATCATTCATTGTTATTATAATTTATAATTATTTTCATTTATTATTATTGTTAACATTTTTTTATTATTATCATATATTTTTATTATTATCAATATTATTATTATTATTAATTATTATCATTACTATTATACAAATAATCTATCATTTGGGAAGGTCCTTAATTTCCTTATCGTTATACATATTACATACATATATCATAAATACTATTAATTATTGCTGGATCTTTCAGAGTTTTTTCAAGAATATAATGGTAAATAAATACGAGAATAACAGGTCAGGCATATTTTGCATATTTAATTAATTTAAAATTTCAAATTCAAACATTCTTCCAAATCAATGCTTACGATTAATTGAATATACAATGTACAAATACAATACAATGCAAAAGATTGTTTATTATATAGTAAAAAGTTTTAAAAAATAATCATCTTCTAGTAATTTAAATTTATATTCTCACTTTGTTTTCCATTTTGTATTATTTTAAAACAATGTTAAATTAATGAAATGACATAAAAATTGAATAATTTAAAACAAAAGGAATGATTAAGAAAGAGATAAATCTTTTTGAAATAAAATAATGCTAAATTAATGAAATGACATAAAATAATTAGTTCATTTCATTAATTATTCAGTAGCCTAACAATATGAATTAAAAATGATCGTTGTACAAATTAAAATGTTCAATTTGTTAATTCATCTTTTACTAATGTTCGTTAAATCTTTTTTATTATAACTATTAATTTGTTTCTTTTATTTCATCAAACATTATATAAATCTTTCATACCTCAAACTAATTTAAATTTAAATTTAGGTTAATTAGTAATTCTAATACTTCGCAATCATTTTCATCATATGTGACTATATTTTCCAATACAGTAATTACATTAAATATCACAATAATGATTATCATTATACTATTATCATCGATTGATTACAAAATAAGAAAAAAAATGATTAGGCTAATTAGCAAATTTAATACTTTGCAATCACTTTCATCAGGCTTACTATATATGAGACTATATTTTCCAATACAGTAATTATATTAAATATCGGAATAATGCTTATCATTATATTATTATCATTGTTTGATTATAAAATAAGAAAAAATGATAAAATTATAAAAAGATGTTAAATTTTAATCAATTAAACTTTTTAAAGGTCAATTTAAAACATTGCAGTATAAATATTTCAATTTAAAAATTTGCAATGATAAATTTGAAAAATAAAATACCGAACATAAGACCAGTTATAACGACGAAACGTTTTCAAGGAATTTCTTGAAATTGAACATTTGATAGATCATTATATAGTGCATGCTTCAGGTAAAGCAACAAATAAATGTCAACAAATCAATTGAAGTTGTCATCAATGAAATGACCGATCATTCTTATCATTCTCCCTTTTCTTCAATTCATTTCTTTTATTTCATACATTTATCTTTTTCGTCAGGCAAAATTTTATCAGTTATGAAATGGTGATAAAATTATTAAAGGAAAATGGTGTAATAATAAGATAATTAATCAAAAAGATCTATTCAAAATTACTGTCGTCTTTTTTTTTGAAGTATGTAATAGAAATGATAAAAGACTGTACTTTAAAAAACAAGAAGAAAGAGAGAGGGAGAGAGAGAGAATTGATAAAGAAAAAGAATAATTAAATTTCGATGGATAAAAACAGGTTTTTATCATTTTCATGACTAAATCATAACATTCCACAATTTTCATTACATTACATTTAAGTAGCTGTAAAATTAAGTAAAAAAAAATTTTTTTAATTTATCTTTTTAATTTTTAATTTACCATTAAAGGTAAATTAAAATTTGAAAAGATGAATTTAAAAAAATTTATTTTAATTCTCCCTTTTAATTGTGCAACAGTACTACAGTAAACTATATGTTATTGCGATAAAAAATTATTATAGTAAAAAAAATTATGCAATATTGTTACGGTAAAAGATTCAGCATAACGCACCCTATCAAAAAGTATACGATAAAAAATTCCTATCCAATTAGGTAAGATAAAATTTTTGTTTAAATAATAATTAGCAACAGTACCGAAGTGAACTATATATTATTGAAATAAAAAATTATGCAATATTATCACGGTATAGGATTCAACATACAGTAACCCATCAAAAAGTATACGATAAAAAATTCCTACCCAATTAGGTAAGATAAAATTTTTGCTTAATTTTTTCCATTTAAAAACAAAAGTGAAAAAAGCCATTCATTTAAATGATTATAAATTAAAAAAGGAAATTACTAAATGGAAAGTTTTTAAAAAATTTGATGTAAAAATTTCTCTTCCATCCAAAAAATATGTTTTCCTAAAAAACATTTTCTTTCTTTGAATTATTTTTAAACAGGAAGATGTTTTTCTTTGAATGAAAAAAAGGGAAAAGATTTAAAAGACTATTTTTATCATACTAATAAAATGTTACGAACAAATTTTATTTTGTCTAATTCAATGATGTAAAAAAAAAACCGTCAATCTTAAAACAAATGAAATTACAGTACTAAACAATAATTGTCATTATCATTATCAGCTAAGTAAAGCATGTTTATTTCTGGAATATAGCTGTCATCATTATCATTATCAGCTAAGTAAAACATATTTATTTATAAAATATAATTGTATTTTCTTAGCTATAAGATGTTTCAAGTTATTAAATGAATGATGATTACATCTGAGCGTATCGAGCTTAAATTCATATTTAAGGCTTAGATAATCAAATTATCGAAAATGATAGATGCAAATATAATAGGAATGGAATTGATGTTTGAATTTCAAGTTATGTTGTTGTTGTTGTTGTTGTTGTTGAATCAAATGAAGTACAAAAAAAAAGGTAGAAAGGACGGAAAAAGGATTTACACGTGCTAAATTGAATATAATATATAATATATTATTATAATGAATATAATAAAAAAACTTTCAGCTTAGATGTTAATCAGATTAGCAATAAGGAAATACGCTTAGCCGATAATTAGTAAATTCATTTTAAATCAATTTTAATGATTCATGTTTTAAAACTTCTCATTCATGTTTGCTGCCATCAGTTAGAAAGCAAAAATTTTCTCTGCATTAAATGTTGCGTTGTTGTCTTCTAGGATTGTCTATCATCAATAATTAAAGTTGCAGTATTAGTGAGAATATTCTTGGTCAGTAAAATGAAAAGAAACGATTAATGGATCAAATAATTTCACTTTATATCACTTTTCAAATCAACGATTTGTGATCATATTTGACAATAAGCGATATACATATTTCCAATATCGCTATCTTTCAGTTCCTTTCAATAATTAAATATCTTCCTCATACGGTATTTCCTATGCAATAACAAAACAAAAGAAAAAAGAAATGCTGAAATAGATTTTTCTAGAAGATTTTAAGACGATCGTTTGAATAAAAACAACATAAAAATGTTTTGAACAGCTCAAAATCACCATAACATTTCATCATTAACAGTATCTTGAGACTGGATTTTGTTTGCTGAGAAAAGGGAAAGTATTTAATTTATGTTGTGGCAGTAATAATATTGATAATTTAATTATTACTGCAAAAAACAATCCATAACATAAAAATAACATCCCGATGAGTGTGGAACTTACATAGTGTAATGCAGCCATGCTTCGGACTGTAAAACAAAGAGAAAATAAACTGAGCACAACAATAAAAGTATGAGATAACCAAATCCTCTTATTACTTGAACAAATAAAAATTTTTGAATAAATAAAAACCTCTGCTGCCTAAGAAGTAGTAGCTCCTTCATCCGAAGAAAAAGAAATCCATTATCGCATAAAAGTCACAATTACGAATGAATGCATCAAATACTATTACTCTGTTCTACCTCCAATCAAAAGTAGTCAAATTGAAATAAATCTTGAAATAAATTTTCACATCTGCGAAACAACTGGCTTGTGTGCTTCTTAATCCAGTATGAACTAAAAGATCAAAAAATCAGTAACGATCATAAATGCAACTTATTCAGGACGAATCATAAAGGGAGTCACTGCAAAACGGAGAAAAGATAAAATAAAAAAAATAACAATTTGCTTAACTCTGATGTTCTGAAGAGACGATGTTCCGTAAGGTACTGAAAGAAATCAAAAACAACCAAATTAGTATAACGGAAGTCCACGTCAAAACATTAAAGTATCGCTTGAGCTACAACATCCAAAACAGTTTCGAAGAAATCAACAAAGAAAAAACAGTATGTTCTGTATTGACTACATGTGAAGTCATTTCACAGGGATTAACTGAAAGTATGAGTAAAGGTTGGTCTCAATATCCTGCACCAAAAATATATTTCGATGCCAGAAAAACTAGGCCTTAGACTGCCACATAAAAATCACATCTCAACAACAAAAAATGTTTAAAAAACTTTATACAAAGCTGTAAATAAATAATTAACGCACTGTTCATAGTATTTTCATCGCCGCAACCTAACAAAACTTCCACCTGTTGCCACATTCGCGACAGAAAACGAACGTAGTCATAGGCTCATCTGCGCTACGTGTTTGCACTTGTGTATAGGTACAGTTTTTCTTTCCACACTTACCACATTTAAACATGTCAGAAGGAGTTCCCTCTTGAACTGCCATCTGATATTCTTCAATTGCCTGAAAAATTGCATCTTTTCAATAATACTTGAAATTTCAATTTTTTTCAGAACTTTCTGTGATTTATGTAATTCCTTTCAGAATTTACAAGTAAAAGACTTTAGAGAAGCAGCCGAGTTTAGATTATTTAGTGTAGTTCACTGGTGTAATAAATCGCATGCATAAGCGGGAAAGTTACAGAAATAAAGTGGTACCAGTAGATTAATTGATGTAATATTCACTAGTGATTACTAAGCAGGATGACTATTACATCGACATAAATATTAAATGGAATTGACTCAACTGAATAATATCCAGTTCTAAGTCATTATGAACATTTGATACCACAACGTTTGAAAAAATTTTTAAAAACTATTTCAGTTATTCAAACCTGCTTGGTGAATTTCTCCCGCTGTGCTTTCATTTCATCCGATGCCATCTCATCTGCTGTCATTACTGCGAATCTGCAATCGAAAAACCGGTAAAATGCGGAAGCCGCTAATTACTACTAATCAAATGTGATAAGTAAAAAATTTCCCTCTTAAGATTTTCAAGCAAGATACAAAACAGTATGAATAAAACAAATTTTAGAATGATACTAGAGAATGAAACTACAGCGAAGTAGATCGTGATCTTCATGACTGTGTGGTGTAAAGATTATACCATAAATATGCTACTAAACAAATAGACCGCTCATAACCTTATGCAAATTGTACCAATTATTATATCTACTAGAAAAAACTTTTGTCAAATTCGTGCAAAATCCGGACATGCTTGCATAGTCATTTTGTTTTCACTAATATCTGTTATACTTTTGAAAAACAGTCAACTTTTCAGCATCAGTAGCCCTGAGAAACATGGGTGTTCGTGGTATAAAAAAGCTCAGCAGAAGTTTTAAATCTCTGTTTTGCTAGAAATAGTGACAATAAATTCTTACATAAAACTAAATAACGTCATTTTTGTTGTCATAATATTTTCAAAAAATGGATCTGAAATAACAAAATTTTCAGTATAACTACACTTATTCTATTTACAATGCAAAATAATTTCTATTTCAAACCCTATTTTAAAAACATGTTATTTCCACACATTAATTTCCGATAGTGTTGCAGTTTGAAATTTTTTCAAATATTTTTTCTTACTCTATCTCTCTCTACCTCATCTCCTTTTTCCTTACTCTTCCTGCTCCAGTTCATCAATAATAATAGCACAGGGGCCAAACTGTCTGCATTGCCTCCTCTCTCTCTCTCTCTCTCTCTCTTCACTATAAATTTAGCATGCTGAACAAATCATTAAAAATGCTCCGCGTACAGGAGGAACAAAGTGCAAAAAGCACCCATTCTAACTCTATTATTGACGAACAAAAATACTGCGATAACTAGGTTTAGATATAGTTTAGAAGTCTTGTTTCACTGCCATCGATATTTGCATTTAAAAATTTTGTCAACAAGATAGCCAGACATGTCAATTGATGCCTCGTCACAATTTTTCCCCACAAAGTCATTAATAATGACTGGATTAAAATCTCTTCAGAAATTAGGAATTGAACAAAAAATGAATTCATGGGCCCTACAAAACAAGATTAAAAATTCATATAAGAAAACAACTTACAACATTAAATGTTTTTTGAAAATTTGACATGGTTAATTCAAGGATGAAAAAAATGGATGTTTGGGCAAAAAGTTATGTGAGTATTCATGATTAAGAGAGATATAACTTCAATTTTTTGATTATTCGCTGGTTAGCCTACATTAATAAATCGTTACGAGAAATCAATAAATACTTTTCAGGAGTTACAGCGCCAATCAACACATTTTCGCGGAGAACCAAATTTTTTTTGTCACGCAGGTTAAACACTCGACTTCGTAGGGCTGCTTTATATTTTTCTGAAGTACCACGATGTACCTGAATACAGCACAGAGTCATTTTTCATTTTAAATTTCTTTCTAATCCTATTATGCAATTTCTAACTTCGCAGAATTTGAAAAGTTAATTAAGAATCTATAATTCATAGTATCATATTACAGTAACATAGTTTGGTATTATAAAATATTTTATACTTCCTGTGTCATCAAAAAAGATTATACTTACTTTGTTATACCATTTGCTGAAAAATTTCATTTTAATGAACTAAACTCCATTTTACACTTTAATAATGCATACTGCGCTTTTTCTGTTTTACATCAAAACTAAGTCGCTCACTTCCAACTAATCTCACTATGATCAAAAAAATCTCTCACCTCAAACAATTTCTTTTCAGTTCGAATTGCCAACTCTTCAGGATCAAGAGTTCCATTGGGCAATTCCTTTGAAAGCAGAGCATCAAGAATCATCGTAGCGCACTTATTCCTGACCTGCAAAGTAACAAAAAATAATCAAAACACATTTATAAATCGACCATAAAATTCGATTTAAATGCTTTAACAAAAAATATTCAGGCGAAATTAATGAATAAAAGATGTATCAATAGAAAACAGCATACCTCATCAGGAAGAAGTTGCTTCCTAGCTGTAGACAAAGGTGTTGAAGAATTTGCTGTGCCGGAACTTTTTTGCGATGATTGTGATAAATGTTTGGAACTTTCATTAAGTGTAGTTGAAGAAACGGATGCTGGTGAATTGTTTTTTGCCACCGCATCTTTCCCATCGCCCTTATTACTACTTGTTTTATTCGCCAACAAAATCTTCCATTCCTGAGAATAAACCAAAATAAAATTCACAAATCCAAAAAAAAAATAAAATAAAACAGAAATAAAATATACAAGAACAAAGTGGATAAACTAAAAGAAGCGGCAATCCAATGCAATAACAGAAAACCAACCACCGAAACACGTATCATTATTTATAATATAAAGGGAATACGTAAGCCATTGCTTTTACTAAACAAAACTGATGCTGTGTCATTCTTGAATATGGTAAACGACAATCCAAGTTGCTTTTGAATAGTGGAAAATAACTATTGCAATGCCGTTCAATTTATTACACTGTGTCATTTCGCGTCATTTATTTTTTTATTCGTACAATAAATCTGACATTTCAGATTAATAATTTATTAAGCAAACAGCACCATGCACTTTTTAAATACTGAGTAACTAACATTTGGACCTTTTATTTCAAAATAACCATAAACACCTCCAAATTTACAACTTCTTCACAAATGAAGCAATTCGCAAACAAAAAACAAGTTACTGCACTAAGCTAAAACAACTCCCACTTTCCTGTAACGGAGTATGACAAAGAATGATGAGAAAAGTAAAATGCCGAACCAAGGGCGTAAAAGAAAGGTAATGGAGCTTCAGTATTGCGCCGTTCTTTTTTTTTTGGTGTTAATATTACACTTTACAGACTTCTGTGAAGGATATCAGTTAGCAAGTGGAAAACTGCGAAGTGTGATAAAGTGATGCTCCACACTCAACTGATGCTGTATCATTCTTAAACTTATCGAAATGGCAAAAACAACTCCCAACGAAATCAAAATTCGAATAAGTCGGTCCGAAAAAAATCGAAGACTGAAGTTAAGCGAACATTAGATACCTTAATCAAAGATTTAGCTCGCTTGGCAATATGTTCATCGCTGGTTTTCTTGCGTAAATCATTGATTGTCATACCGATACGAGTTTTCTAAAATGATCTTTACTACCAACATCAGTTTTAACATTACAATCATCATTCTATTCTCATTGTCTTCTTCTTACCTAATGATGCATATAAAAAACTCGATGCACTGTGGAAAAGCAAAGATGAACTTACGGTAAGGATATTTATATCGACAGGTAATGTGGATAATGCATCCAATAATTCCATCGCATCGTCCATCTAGAAAAAGAAGTCACGTGAATTTTCACATTTTCCAATAGTCAGTGTTGAACTTTCACCTTTTCCAATAGTCAGTGTTCTTTCGACACATAACACAGTTAAATACAATTATATTTTTTCTTATCCATCGGCAGATGTCGGAAAAGTACTACTGCAGGAAACATATGCCTTTTTTAGTTCGATACTCATTTGGAGAATTGTAACTGGCTAATTTTGAATTTTCACTAATTAAATTCATCTATTTCATTTTTTTATTGCATATAACATGTCGAATGAACCTGTCGTACGAAATGACGCGACGTATTAATGTCTGACATATTAAGTTATAAGCCATATATCAAGTAGATATAGTGCATAACATTGAATGAAAAAAGATATTAACTGAAATTGTGTGTTCAACAAAATTACGCGTTGAACCGCGCTTATTCGTAATATCAATTGGCAGAAACAATTTCGTTGTCAAAGAAGTCAGAGAGTGGTCTGAAAGAATTTTTCCTGTACAAAAAAAGTAAATAAACTGACCGTCTTGGTTCCTTGTATCATTCGTTCAAATTTTCTGCCAATTCGCAGCACTTCCTCTTCACAAGATGCCATCCTCAAGTCGCGTAAAACACGCCCGCATCAAAACTTAGCCAGAAATTCAACTTGAGCGATCGGAAGACTAACGCAGCCCGTCCTTACACGAACAGCCACTATGCAATAATGATTATTTCAGTTGAGAAAATTCCACTGTGGATTCGTGCAGCGAGCATTATTAGCACGATGGCGACTGCTAATCCAGCAAATTGCAGAAATGGAAATAAAAGAACCAAAATCTCAGCAAGACGTAGATCTTCATATTCAGCATACTTCATGAAAATCAATTACGCGTGGCAGTGATGTTAATGAATTGTATATTGGAAAGCCTAGGAGATATAACAACCGACATACTACCATCTGCATACATAAATGGATGAGATAAAAAAGTGAACTTTAATTATCCAAATAGGAGCAGGTGAGCTTTTAAACCTTCACATCAAATTATCCACCGAAAATTAGATATCTCTCTTTGAAATCATATTGGAATGTTTCTTGCTCGAATTTTATGAAAATAACATGTGAAAATAACATCGATAGAATAAGTTTTTCATTTCAGTTAACGCGGAACAAATCTTTTTGACTCATTTAAAAGATCACAATCATGACGACCAAGTACCATCAGCTATTATCACGGGTTAAATGATTACTTTGTTAACGAACAGTTAGGTGAGAATTCGCAAAACTGCCACTGATGTTTTCTCTATTTCCTAATAACATTTCGATATCCGCAGCTACATTTATTCATCGGCGGAAAACCGGAAATAACCCGATATAATAGCATATCAACAATTCTGTGAACTACAGAGGTATTTCTAAGCATATTCAATCTAAAAATATGAATAGAACATCGGCACCATACACAAAAAATCCAAACTACTGCAACATAATTTGAAATTGTAATTAATGTTAAAATCAAAGTTTGTATCCTTTCTATATAAACACATTGTACAAACTGAAAGCGAACTGACCCAAAGCTGCAGAGTTTTAAAAACTGAACCATTTCTCTTATTCCGTTGTCAATCCAAAGCGATACTACAAGATAATAGAAACTGACAAGCCCGTTTACTATTTATAGCTATGATTGACTATTGGCTTGTTTGGATAAAATTTCATTATGAAATGCAAAGTGATCTTCAATAAATGATGCAACAAAAAAATACGAGTGATCATAGCCTTCTTGATATCTTATCTCGATTTGAACCTAAAAAATATTGTTCCTTTATAGTTGAAAAGAAAGCGAAAAAAATAGTGTGAAATAAAAATGAATATTACAATGAACTATGTTAGTTCTCATAATATGCATTAACCGTGTACTAGTGAGCATTTTAATTCAATATTTTAATGAATATTTCTCTTGGAATGTAAATTGAATTAAAAAAAACTTTTTCGTAAATTTTTGACTAGAAACTGTTTCTTTCTTCAAATGACAAGAAGCATTTGCATAAAAATGTCGGGATATGAATCAATGAATACTTTATCATTGTTGACGGTTTTCAAATTCTGTGGTAGCAACTGATCCTGAGCCAAAAAATTATCTGCTGTACCCTGATCGATTAAGATTTTCCTTGTTTCTCCGTCATAATTTTTAATGACTTCCAGTGAATCATATGCTTCCCAATCTTCCTTCAACGGCCCAAGATAACCAAGGAATGCCTATAAAATCATCATAACCATTTCACGGTGTTAAAAAACTGAAGTAGACAAAACTGTCATTACTACACTTTTGACTTATACAATCAATGTAATGATTTTATTTTACGAAATCCTGCAGCAGAAACACAGAAAATTTTGCGGTAACATGAAAAACTTTGGAAAAGAAGGAAACAAAAATTTTATTATCATTATATATGAAATATCCCACTGCTATTCATGTATATAATTGATAAAATGTAGTACAAAATCATACAGCAATCAATAGAAAGCAGTTTCAGATGCAACAATAAATCCCTCCTTCTTTAATTTTATTTTGGTTTCTACGATTCAAATTCAGAGAAACCTAGTTTCGAGAAAAATTTAAACCTACATCATCTTCTTCATCGCAAGGACATAATTCATGTTGTATATTTGCTCATGGCTAATAGTATCTTATCACCTAAATACTATTCATATAACAACAGACCTTCTTTCCCAACTCGCAGTTCATCGGATTACAAAGTGGGGCAAATGCCGAGATACTTAAGAATTTTTTCGGATTTCTGAGACCGATTACCATTGCACCATGCCCTCCCATACTATGTCCCATTATTCCCCATCGATGCAGACAGCATTCGGCAAAATTTGACTGCACTATATTAGGCAATTCATCTGCGATATACGTATACATTCGGTAATGCTTACTCCATTTTGGTTCCGTTGCATCAAGATAAAAGCCAGCACCTGGGAAAAATGTATGGTAAATATCGTTTGAAAACGAATCTCTGAAAGCCAAGCAATTAATCCAAGGAATTAATTTGATCTTTTAGTTCTAGGTTTGCTATGATATGGAAATTTTCTAGAAAATAAAAACCAATTGTGTGTTATTCACTGCTGGTTGTTATAACTATGGACTAAAAAAAATTAAATAATTGTTGATCGTCGAAATAATTGAATGAATATTTCAAAGGAAAAGGAAAAGAATTCAGGAAAAACCTTTGCCAAAATCCCAACAATCGGAATCGCCCGGAATATCCACACCTCTCGGACTTGTGTCTGCATTTACAACTATCATTTTGTGCGTTGCCGCAGCACGTTGAAAACCGCTTTTCTCGATAAAATTTGCTTCGGTACAAGTAATACCTGAAAGTTCAGATTTGTGAGATAGAATAATAAAATATTAAAAAATTATTACCAAAAAAAAGACGATATAACTTCTTTATTTACAGTAGAAACAAAGCCTCCAATCCTAACTTTAGCAATTCTTTTTCTATTTACAATTGGATTTCTATTTCAGTTTAAAAGCCCTCTTAACTAATTCTTGGGTATCCAACCTTAACTGAATCTCCTTATTTTCCAAGTTAAACTTCAACTTAACCGAATCTAGCTTAAATTTAGGCTCCAAATTAGTATATGTCTAAGATAGCTGACATGTCACAAACAGAACAGTGCTGTATGCAAAATGGAACAAATGAGAGTTAGTTAGTTCAAGGCATTAAAAAACATTTAGAATTAAAAGAAAGATATCCTAGAAGCATTTCTTTCTGAGTGTTTGACAATTATATATTACTAAGATGATTTACCCGAAAGATACATTAAAACAGGTACTTTTTCATGAAGCCTTAAATCCGGAATGTAAATACCGAATTTCATCGTACATTTCAGCGTCCCACTGCAAACATGGTTTTTAACAGCACTAATCAACTAAATGTATTCGATGGAAATTAAATTAAAAAAAGTCCACTATGAAACTTGAGACATTCCTTTGTTAAAATCTCAACTACTTCCAACACCTTAAGCTTTCCAACTAATTTTTAATTTAAAACAAATATCTAAATTCGACATTATAAAATTTTATAACAAACAGACAAGAAATAAATCAGACTTTTAGTTTTTAAGTATAAGTGGAAAGACTAGTTTCTGTACATTTCATCAAAACTTTTGAAGATTTGTCACTGCACCTCATCAAAATCATCAAATTTTGAAATATCGCATGAACTTCATGGTAAGGCAACCACAATTCCAATATCTTCATTACATCTTTCAATTACCTTTCTATTCTATCTAAAAACAATAATATACCTGTAATGGGAGAAGATCCGCTGATATCCGCCAAAGCAACGAATTGATGATAATTCTACCAATTTGGAATTCATCATTGTTGCAATAAGCTTGTATACCTGGATTATTAAAAGTATAATAAGAAATAAAATCGGGATAACAATCAATAAAAGTTCAATATTCAACCTCATTTTCAGTTTTCTCTTACAGTCATTCGGAATTATATCTATCCATCCCTCAAAATTTCCACATCTTTTCACTTACAGCTATTTCTTGTCCTAGTTCTGAAATGGCTGAAAAACTTTGTTTCTTACTTACTTAATCATTTTCCAAATCTAACTGCATGCATGTAATTACTTACTGGCCCTCACATTCTCTACACCTATCCTGCCTCTTACTCCCTACCAGCATTCCACTTCGCAATTCTTTTCAATCTCTGCATCTCATCACTAACATATACTCTTTTTATCTTACTATCTCAATCTCCACATGACAGAAAATTTTTTACATCCAATCGTCTTTCCAATTTTTATCAATCCCTATATCTCTCACTAAAAAATACTTTCCGCTTTTCCTTCTGTTTTCCTTGACAATTATCCGTTTTTTCTTTTCTCAATTTTTAACTGTACTCTTACAATTCTCATCAATCTATATGTTTCTGTATCAGCCAATATTCTTTCTGAATTCTAATTCTTTGCAAAATAATGTCTTGTAATCAGTATCAGCGTATTCCGGGTTATCGATTATTTTCTAATGATAAATCTCATGCTAATTCCTTATATCTTATCCTTATATCTTTATCAAAAGCCACAACAATTCCAATAACAAGGATTGAGAGATAATAAAAAGAAAAAAAGAATACGACTAGTTACATTTGATAACATTTAACGCATTGATTAATTTATCAATGAAATAGTGATAATTTTTTATAACTGATACTATAAATTCATGATAATCCCCAATCACTGATATGACGATGTCCAATGATCCCTTACCACCCACTGATCTCACAGTTATTATCATTCAATTAGAAAAATTTGAATAGAGTAAAAAATTTATATATAATAGAAGTAATGTAAATTTTACAGAGTTTAAGAAATGTCGAATTATCGATTGATGTATTATATCTGATAACTAACACTGAACACATTGTACTATTTCTGGTTTAAATTTATATTCGAATTAAAAAAGATCCGAATACTGAAAATAGCCAGTTTTCTGAGGATAATAAATCCTCTTCACTTTCTTGTATATTAATTAACTTTAATTAATTTTTAATTTAATTAATTTTAATTAATTTTTAATAAAGGAATTTGTGAATGAAGCAAAATTTTAATAAATTATTTCAAGAAGAAAAAGGAGAAATTCTAATGCAACATTTATCAAAACTTTGCTTTATGCAAAAAATTACGAGCCATATCAAATTGCAATCAATAAAGCAATCAATTTATCAATCAAAAAGCTGATCAATCAATTGTTGTAAATTTTATGGCTAGAGAATGTTACTGATTTGATTACTAATTCATTTAATATGTAATATTTTATTAATTTCCATTAATTTTTCATAACATATTCATGCATTCCAAGCATGCAAATGATATGTTAATATCATTGTAATAGATAGAAAAGATTTTACTTTATACATCAGTTTTGAATAATAACTAAACGTTATCTCGTATGTTATCATTAAGGCATGTTATCACATGCTTTAATGAAAACATGGATGAAGATCTCTTATTATATCAGCATCTTATTTACTTGATTAACAATCCGCAAACTTTATAAAATGTTAAGTATATTTTTCTTTAAGCAATGAAATGAATAGTGAATCAATCGAAGGTAATGTTTACTTTCGAAAGAAAGTATTAAATTGAGGGTATTAAATAGTGGTTGAGAAGTTTGCCTAAGCACGTCACCTTCTCTTATATTCTCATTTATGTCATTTGAAATTTCAATAATAACCATTTTCTTCTGCCAATTTAATTCGAAATCATTGCACATTATCTTAGATTTAATGGATCAGTTACGAATTTTCGTTGCAGTGTTTACGATAATTTACCGTAATTTGAGTTGATATATAGCTAATATATATTTACAGTACATTATATTCGCATTTATCTCATTTGAAATTTCAGTAGTAATTAATTTCTTCGATATTTCTAGTTCGGAATGATTGTGTAGTATCTGGAAATTCTACGTTTTCATCACAAATATCATCACCTTAAATTTGTTGAATTCATTTTAATTTGAATCTATTTCAATTTTCTTCATCCGATAATCGAAAATTTTATATATTATCATGAAATTAATTGAATTATTTTAATTATTCTTTGCCACAAATTATCGTAGTTGAAATTCATCAATAATTAATATATAGTTAAGTTTTTACTAGCTAATCATTCTTATAGCGTTTTATGGTACTCGATTACTTCTATTTGTACTGTTATAAAATATAGTTGTAGAGGAATATGTTAACTATAAGATATATTATATTTAAAATAGCATGTTTTCAATTTTAAGTATGGTATGTATGAAAATTTTACTCCAAGAAATAAGCCAAAAAAAATATTTGATCAAATTTAAATTTTTTGTATAATAGATATGGATAGAAGATTAAATGGATAAACAGTGTATTATTTTGGATATTGGCGGACGTTTGTTTAAAACCAAAATAACAACACTTACTTCGATCGATGGTTCCTATTTTCAGCAATTGTTTACTACAAAATGGAATCATTTATTGGATTTGGTAATTTTTTTTGCAGAAAATCTCATGATACAATCTCATGATAATACAATCATATGATAATCTCTGATAATTAGCAAAAAAAAATTGATGTTAATTATCATATTTAAAAATTAGAGAAATTAGAAAATATTTCAACTAACTGAAGTAACTTTGAAACTTTTGAAACTTTTAATTTTAAAATGGTTCAATTTCTTGCAACTATCTCTCTCGTAACAATATCCAACTAATATCTATGTGGAAGTCATTTTGAAACCAATTCCGTAGCATATTAGTACTTCAACTTCGAGCAAAATCTACCCTAACTTTATTTTAAGAATTAAAAAAGATGCTAAAAGTAAACTACAATCAAATATTTCTCAGGTATTGTTTAAAAACTTAAAAACAAATCATAAATTAGTTTCAAAAGTTTTAAATTAGTTTCAATCATATTTAATCAGTTCCATTATGATAAGTTGGTAAAAATCAATTAGTCCACCATCAATTATGATAAGATATTAATTTCCAGGATGGTCATTTATTTATCGATCGTGATAGCGATGTATTTCCCATAATTCTCGGTTATTTACGTCATGGAAAAAGCTATCCTTTGCCAGTTGATGATTATAAGCTAACCTTAATTATTTATGAAGCTCAATTTTATAAACTTCCTGAATTAATTAAAGCTGCTGAAAAAGTCCGATCGTATATGAGACGAAATTTCATCTCATCAAAATCAACTATATCTACTAGTCCAACAAGTAGACGTTATTCGACGCAAGCATCCAAAAATATACCGTTACCAAAAGAAATGACCTCAAAATCAATTTTATCCATTCGTATGATTTTCTATGAATTTTAATTTAATTTTTAAATTTCAAAATGTTATATTTATTAAACATTTTAATTTGAATTCATGTACTATTTTTATATGACTTCAATTTTTTCAACTCTTTTGTTTTCAAGTTTTACATTTTTCAACTCAATTTCAAAACTCTTAAATTTCATCTCTTACATGACTGGTAGATAGGGGAAAAAAACTGACTGATTAATTTATATTGAATAGTTAATTTATTCATTGACATTGTTTACTAACAAATAAATTAAGCTAATGTTAATTATTAATTAAAATTTTGAATTTAAAGAAAAGAATAATGAATAATTAGAATGTAATAATATGTAAGTCATTTTTTTCATAAATTTTTTTACTGCCTGATATAAGTTATAGTATGATTTATAAATTTTAAAGCACCAATGCTACAACAAATTCCGAAAAAATCAACAACTGGCAACAATGAAACATTGATGAGACATTTCTTAAGCAAACTACCAAATAGGCGCAACAGGAATGAAATTGAAATTGGTCCACCGAATGAATTCAAGTATTTTAAATTTTGTTGAAAAAATAAAATTAAAAACAAAAAAAGAATTTCTGCTGAAACTTATGTTAATAGTGATATTGTGTCTATACCGTGAAGAATAAACATTAAAAGTAGAATTAGAAATAAAACTGGAATATATGTATGTATTCAATTTCCAGAAAAAATATGACTGAGATATCTTAAATCAAACTTTTCAAATGCTATCTATTTGATTTTATAATTTTAGCATAATTTAAATATAACCATCTGTTTGATTTTATAATTAGGATGGCACTTTTGAGATAACTTAGATTGCTGACAACTACGAATTATAAAATAACTTAATAGTTGCTCAGATTTGAATTGCTAAATAAATTATAGTTTAGTATGTTTTTTATTTACTCTGAATATTTACTTTTATTAATTTTTGCAAAAATTTCATGAAGTTTCACAAATGATAACTTAAAAATAATTAGAATTTGTTTTTAGTTTATTTGACATTTACTTTTGCATAATTATATAATTAATTGATAAATGAATAGTTAAATGAATCATTGAAAATGAAAATATTTAAATTTAAAACAAACGTTTAAGACATATCCTACATATTGGCGAAGCAGACGATGGCCATAAAATTGTTATTGATCATAGTAACGATGATCAAAAAACGCTGAAAACTATTGTGCAAGCTGTATATGACGAAATTTCAACTTTACCGGTATTTAAATTCTATGCTGTAAATTAATTTAAGTGTAGGGAGGATTTTTAATTTAATACTGAAATGGTGCATTGAATTTTATTTTAATGGATAAGCGGATGCTTATCATATAACATTGTATCATTAAGACGAGTCAGTTCACTGTTGCTTATGAAACGTTAAGTAATAAGCTCATTAATTGTCAATCATTAATTAATTAATTACCTATCATTCACCATTACAGATAGTATACAGTTTGGTAGATGCAGATGAAAATGAAAACCATAGTGAATCGGTGGAAATCTTCTTTACCGATTCAACTATTCGAGCATATCACAATGACAACTTATCAGCACCTCAAAAATTATCAACCAGTTTACGAAATGGTTTTTATGATAATTGCTGCTATGAGATAGCACGAAGCGACAACAAGGAAAAATGTCACTTCAAAGAGATAAAAAAAAGCCCAATTGTTACTGATATGTAATTAATACTTGACTGACATATTTGCTACAACAATAAAATATTGCTTGATTAATTTGCTATCACACAATGTAAACAAAATTCTTATTTTCGTCTAATTGCTACAACAATAAAGTATTATTTGGTTAATTTGTTTGTATAATAAATAAGCATATATATATGAATTTAACAGTGTATAAGTGATGTGCTATTTAGTTTTTATTTTCTGGTATATTCTGTTAGTCATTTTCCTTTTTTGCTACTCATTTCATTCTTCTCTTTCTTTTAATTTCATTACCATACCTTTTTAATTCCTTAATTACTCAAATTCATTTTAATAAATTGAAAATATAAAGCAATAAAGAAAACGAATTTTTGGACTGAAATAGCATTTGCGGAATTCTTAAATAACAATATTCGATATTGGCTTATTATTAATACTTTATATTTTAGTTTAATAGTTATTTCAGAACGAAATTAAAGATTAACTATTAATTGAAATCAAAATGAATCGAAAATTGTTTTCAAGACTGTCATGTTTTGATAGCATCAATTATTCCAGAGGCTATCATGTTTTGATAGCATCAATTAATTGTCATATACCGGAATCGGTTTGTGTAAACTTCTCACGCAATTAAACAATGAAATGCTGGCACAAAACAATTGAGGAAAAAAATGAAAAAAGCTTTATTCGAAAGGTTTGTCGAAAGAAATCGAAAATATATTGCCGAAAGAAGTAAAATATTATATTTTGCTAATTTATGGAAATTCAAAAGATGAAAATAGAAATTGAATAAAATTATTTTCAAAATGATAGAAGTTAATAAATTATGATGACGAATGAAATTATTTCTTGAAATGTCTTAAATTTCTCTCTTTGTTAAATTTTAAATTTTAAATTGAAAAATTTATTTTAATTCGAAAAGTTCAAAAACTTCAAAAAGGTCAAAATTTTTTGCAAAAAATTTTCATGCACAAAAAAAAATTGAAGTAATTTCTTTTTATATTAAAATACTTTCAAGAAAAGTTTGCCAAAAATTTCTCAGAATTTTTTAGAATTGAATTAAAGAATTTATCGATCGTTGCAATCTAAACCAATTTTTAGACGACCTGTAAAAATAAAATTAAATTATATATTGTAATTGTAAATAATAATAATAATAATGAAATGATCATTCGAAATCAAAAATAGAAATTGAATAAAATTATTTGACATGTTGGAATACATTTTTTTTACTAAATGAGAAAAGTTAAAATGTTCGATTTGATATATCTGAATTTTACAAATAAAAATGTCAAAATTTTGATTACCAAAATCGGCTCGGCCTTATTCCTTATTGATAATTTGTTTTCAACAATGTTATAATATTTCAGATAATTGTATGCGTTTATTATGCACAAAAAATCGTAAATCTTACCTGCTTTTAATATTTACAAACTTACCGTTTCTTAGTACTTACCTTTCCTTCTTATCAATTCCTTCATATCCAATGCATCACTTGTTGATATTTTCTCCGTCTAATTAACATTAAATTTTCCTTAATGGTATCACTAATTTGATTTTATGAATATAGAAATATCCTTAATTTCAAATACTTATCATTTAAGAATATATCTATGTCATTCTTATCTAAAAGCATTCATCCTAATAATCTATACTCTCACATCAAACGTATTATCTAAGCACGGTAATCTACTGATTCAAACTATTTTGCATCAACGGCTTAATTTAAGTGCGGCCGTCAATATTTCAATTTAATTTACTAGTGCTCAAATTCTAATATTTTGCAGTCTTGGGTCAAGCGTTCTCAATTAAGATCGATCGTCCAATTATTCGTCTTCAAATTCCAATCAATATCGACCGTCCATTATCCGTCTTCAAATCCCAAAAGATCGACGTCCATTATTCGTCTTCAAATCCCAATCAAGATCGGCCATCCATTATTCGTCTTCAAATCCCAATCAAGATCGACCGTCCATTATTCATCTTCAAATCCCAGCCAAGATCGACCATCTATTATTCATCTTCAAATCCCAGTCAAGATCGACCGTCCATTATTCGTCTTCAAATCCCAATCAAGATCGACCGTCCATTATTCATCTTCAAATTCCAATAATTCACACTCTTCCGCCAAACGTTTTGTCCAAATTTAATCATTCATAAATTCTACTGAATTTGTCCACATTTCAAATCTTCCAGTCAGATGTCCAACTCAATCTAATATGACTGTCAATAGAATTGCCTAAATATGCTTCTAATAACTTAGGCTTCTATGTCTAACTCACTTATTTTGTATGCTCTATCTTAGCTATCTCAATAATTTAGCTCAACTATTTCTTAAATTGGCTTATGAGAATTTAAAAAGAAGAATATTTGCTATTGCATTAATATTATTAGCATCTCGAAAAAAACCCTGCATATCGGATACAGTTAGGAGTAGATACGGTATTCGAACAAGAAGATTTGACCAATGTAATAGATCGATCGAATCATCATCATGCATTTCACTAATGCTTTGTAAACATTTCCATAATTCCACGTGTATTTTGTTAATTTTTTGTTTCTAAAATTAATTATTTATTTGAAATTCAAAAAAGAAATAAAAGTATTTCAGTAATTCAAATATCTTTTTAGCAAAAAATATATAGAATATTTCTGTCTTAGCAATAAAAAAGCGAAAAAATAACTAAAATTGAATACATCATTTTCTTCTTGTAATTTAAATTAATAAAATATGATGAAATGATTTAATTATATTTTAATTATAATTCATTATCATTACAGAAATAAACGAAGAGCTCTATCGATTAATCAAAAATAACGACCTTTATCAATTTCAATGATTCGTAGCATTAATGTAATAATAGTAATGATAATATAATATACGCTAATGATTGTTATCATGATAATATAAACGATTAAATTTACATTCTTAATTATAATTCAATATCATTGCAGAAATAAACGAAGAGCGCTATCGATTAGTCAAAAATAACGGACTTTATCAATTTCAATGATTTCATAGCATTAATGTAATAGAGGTAATAATAAAATAATAATATACTAATCATTATTATCATGATAATATAAACGATTAAATTAACTTACACATTCTTTTACATTTTCAGGATTGTAAATTAGCAAAGCTGATAATAGGGCCAATTGTCGATTATCCAATTGCATGCAATCAAAGCTTGCAGCCAAATTTATTAAATTTTCAAAAATTTTTGTCGTACAATCCAATGTGGAATAATCACCTTTAGCTGCTATATAAGTTGTATCATTGGCCAACATTAGACAACGTTCTGTGGGATTGAATTCATGGATAATTTGTAGAATTTTTACTACCAGCCAACTTTTCGTAATTATTTCCTCTTGTTCCGATGGTTTTAACTAAATTTATTACTAATTAATGCATAAATTAATGTACTTGTAATAATTATTTTACTGCAGTAAATTTAAATCAAAAAATAAGAGAGATCAAAAAACTAAGTGTTTCTATTTGTTGCAATTATTTTACTACAGTAAATTTAAATCAAAAATAAAAGAAATCTGTTTGAAATAATTTCTAACTCTAATTACCAATTAATTATTAATAGTTAAAATAACAAACAGTATCGTAGATTTCGATTGTTTCAGCAAATTGTCGTACTTGATGAATAATTAAAGCTGTCAATTCAGATAATCGTTCCGATCTTATATCTGATTTGAATTTATGCTAGAAAATGAATAAAATTATCAACTGAAATAACAGGAAATGCATTTAATATGATAATAGTGTAATGATAATAAACGAAGACAAAAATTTCTATTGTTTAAGATATTGTCAATGATTATTCCTCTCTAATAAATTAGTTAAATTTCAATAATACTAAAATGTTTTCAATAAGTGATGATGTAATTTGAAAATATAAGAAGGAAGGATAAGTTAAATAATATAATAGTTAATATCACTTAATTTATTGAAGAAATGATTAACAGTAATGAGAAAGAAAAGTTAGATAAATAATATAATTGTTAATATCATTTACTTTATTGAAGGAAGAAATGATTAACAGTAATGATAACAAACAAAATTTTCCTTGATAAAGATATTATCAAAGACTTACTTTATTGAAGAAATGATTAGCAGTAATGAGAAGGATTAGTTAAGTAAATAATATAATAGTTAATATCATTGGTAATACCAAAAGGGTATCAGTTAAATCAACATTTCTATTTCAGTATCTCTATTTCAGTTTTCAATTCAAAAATTTTAATAGCAATAGGAGTAATAAATAGCAAGAATTATATGAAAAATAAATTACGCTAATCAAATGATAATCAATGTAAAACTATTGGATTAAAAATATTTGATTCTGAAATTTCAATTTAATTATTTAACAGCTGTCAGGAAAAATTTCGTTAATGTGCAATATTAAAAAAAATATTTTAAACAATTAAATTATTAAACTATAATAAAATAATTTCAAATCAAGAATGAAAATAATTTAATGCAACAAAATAATTCAAGAATTTTTTAAAACAATAAGCATTGGAAATTATTTGGCGGTTAAATTTTGATATCAGTGAACTTTAAAATTCTTACCTCTAATGTGTTATCAAGAATTTTACAATAATTTGCAGTCACTTGATCAATTCGTGCTTGAAATTCTTCCTGCTTATCAGCTAATGAATTAGATCTTAATGCTATCCTCAAATGTTCCAGTTTTCGTCGTTCACGATTATCATTTATCATTTTTCGTTTTGCTACCCTTTCCGGTTCATTTAATACCACTAAAAGAAAATTTACGTTCTATTGATGATACAAAAATTTATATTCATAATATCTTATGTCGGATTCTTTTGTACTTTTATTTACTAATAATTTGACAATCGTAGAACTTAAAATATATAAATTTGAAATCAAATAAAATAATGTTATTAATAAAATAAAAGAATGAAAATCAAATAACAAATGAAATCAAATTGAATGAGCAACTTAAACTAACCGACATTAATTATCATAAAGAACTTAAATCAAATAACTGAATGAAATCAAAATAGATAAATTTTTAAATTAAGAACTTATACTTTATATTTAGAAATTCAGAATATACTGTACTTTATATTCAGAAATTCGGAATATACTGTACTTTATATTCAGAAATATCGAACCTGTTAAAATATATAATTAATATCCAAAAGCATATCGGAATATATACTTAAGAAAATGTATGCCTTATTTGGGCTACTTTATATTCAATTTAGAATAAACAGTAATATATTCCAATTATATAATATATAATAATATATTTCAATTATATAACATATAATAATATATTCCAATTATATAATATATAATAATATCGATAATATTACTAAATATATAATAATATTGAAGATAGTCAAAAAATTGTTGAATCACCTTATGTCGGATTTACCGCTTTTTTTTAATGAATAAAATTTCCTTCAAAATACACAACACTAAAAAGTTTTTCTAGAAAGTTGAATATATAAAATTTTTGCGGAACACGTTCTATTCAAAATATTTGTTTAAACCGTATATTCAAATGCTTTTAAAATTTCAACGTATTTTGATGAAAAATTTTTCCGTAAAAAAATTATCGACGATATCGACATATGAAAGTGATATTACAAAGTGTTGCAAAAAAAATGGATTGCAATTTCAGTATCAATTTAGTATAATGCAAATGATTTCAATTCAGTTCAGTTCATTTTATTCAATTAATTATAATAAAATTGAATGTAATGAAAATCAAATAAAATGAATTATTTATTTCAATTCATTTCATTAATTTAACTCAAATAATAATTATAGCAAATACAAGATTTCGTCATCCCATTTTGTATACATTTTTGAAATCGACAAAATTGGCAAACATTTCGTGAAGTTTTACTGATTTCACATCGTTCAATACCTTTGCATTTGTAAACAATTTTTTGCTGCAAAAAAATTTAATAATTAATTAAGTTTTTGTTTTTTCGAAAATTATCAGAAATTCATGAATTGCTGAATAAAATTTTGATGTCTTTCTTATTTCTTTGTTTTAAATATTTGCACACTGAGGTATTTGAATATTTAAATTTTCCTACAATTCCCTTTTATAATTTAAATAAAATTCCAATAATTCAAATATTTTAATTAGCAATTTTTTTATCTAATGTGTAATTTGATAAAATGTGACATATTATAATTATATCAGTATTCAAAATTTAACATCAAAAAATATTGTAATAATTAAGAGAAAAATTATTAATTAATTAATCAGAAATTAGGCTTTTATTGTATGTATCACAAATTACAATGATGATAATAATCTATTAATGAATTAATTGTAAAAGATAATTAATAATGCTGAATTATCAATCAATTATTGTGAAGCAACTGATATTGTATCTTACCATCACATAACATTGCATCCGATATATAGTTTAAATTACAAATTGGACAAAATGTTTGAAATGAAAAATAATCATTATTTATTTTACAAATGGGACAAAATATTTAAAATGATTCTTCTGATTGGTCATTATTTATTTACTGATATTATTTAATTAATATTACATATAATTAATATGATTTTTTGCATAATCTAATATTTATGTATTTTATCACTTACCTGAACTGTTCGTCGGAAAAAACCTTTGCAACCTTCGCATGTTATCGCTCTCAAATAAATATAAGTTAATTATACTTCTTATTATCATTTCTAGCTTACCTATGAAAATCTCTAAAATTTCTTCTTCGTTATTAGTACTTTCAAAATTTGAAGAATGAGGAAAAAATTTTTTGAACTAAATGAATGGTAAATATAAGTTAAGTTTATTGGGAGAAATCGATGATGGCTTAGCAATGATTTATCAAAAAATGACTTATCAAAAATGATACCGATAGTGTAAACCGGTAGCATTATCACCACATACGACGCAAGGTTGACCTGGTTTCATATAACGTGGTAAATATGGTATCACTGAAATTAATATTATAAGTTTATCATTAGTGATATAATATTTCTTACCTTTATAAGCTTTACTTCTAATTCTAATTAGAAATTAGTAGATATAAAAGGTAATTATTTTGTCTCATGATGTTGGTGTCTTTTAATTCAAATGAGTCGATTGATTGCAAAAATTAAAATTTTTCCATTTAAATTTTCATGAATTTTATCCATTTCCAACATTTATTTCTTCATTTAAATTAATGTGAAGAAATTTTACCATTTTTTAACTAATTAATTAATTAGTTAATCAAAAAAACTATTGCTTTTGCAAAAGTTTATTTACATCTAAAATTTGATAGAATGAAGTAAAATTGCAAAATAAGTAAGAATCGATATTTCAGAATAAAAAATGAAATATAGAATTGCTTGAAATAAACATATTTATCACATTCTATTGTTTTATTAATTTGCATAATAACGATAACGAATGATGATACCATTTTTGGCGATGAAAATGATGAAAAGATTCATATAAGAATATTCACGCAACTAACGCTCCAATGACCTTAATTCATTTTAATGCTATGCAAATGACGCAACTCTTTGACCTTAACTATTATCTAACTACCAACTCATCTTCAAGAAATTTCAATCACAGGTAAATGAAGGGAAATTTTGTTAATTAGAATCTTTTTTAGAAAAAATCAAATTTTGCCAATTATCACAGTATTATTAATGCAATTATCACTTATAATTAAATGATAATTACCTCAGAAAATTCAATTGGGTACAGTAAGAAAATTAGAATTAAACAATCTTCTTCTTTTATTTTATTTTATTTTTTAAAATGAATAAGATTACCGTAGTATTTTCTTTCTTCGTCATATTCATCAATTTATTATTCCTAAAATGGTTACGGTCTTTTTTATAATAAACGAACTTATGCTAATTTTAATAACTTCGATTAAATGATATTTTAAAAATGATGCACATGGTAAATGTTAATTGTTAGCTAATTAAAAATAATAATTAACAAAATATCTGAAAATTTTTTGTTAGATTTTGTTCATTGTTTATCTAACTTTGGAATTAAAAATAATAATTAACACAAAATTTGGATACTGATATGAAGAGAAGATAACGAAAATATTGTATACAAAAATATTTATCCCAATTTGTTAGCTAATTGAAATGAAACGTAATATTTCAGATCATTTAAATATTTACAATTAAATCAAAAAAAGAGAAGTAAACAAATGAAACTTGTACTTCTAATTAATTTCGATATCCCTAATACATTTTAAATTATTTTTAACATTTTTGAAATTCCTTACATTTCAAATTTCAAATACTTATCAGAAGTTGCTCAAATTTGATTCAAATTTAAATTATATTATTATATTATTAATATCATTTTATTATTTATATTATTACATTACTATTTTATTTATATTATATAATTTATATTATATTATTGTATTGCTATATTATATTATATTGTATTGCTATATTATTATATTATATTATATTATATTACATTCAACGATTTCATGTCTTTTGTTCCAAATTCAATCTATGTAATAAAAATTAGTGTAAGATATTTATTATTTACAGTTTATACTTCAACAAATTTGCCTAAGGTTTAAAATATTATTGTTTTTATTTAATGAGCTCAGATTTTGCTCAATTTTAAAATCCTTTTATCTAAAATGTTCAAAATGATATAAATTTTTGATTAATAATAAAATTCAGCACAAAAAAAAGTTTCATTGTTTTAACAAATTACAAAAGAAAAATCAAAATTTAACAAAATAAATGGAAATTTTTTACTTTATAATTTTCCTTTAATTCGCATGATAAGTTATGAGGAATGATCAATAATTGATAATTATCTTATAAGAAATTACTGTAATAACATTTACAACCGCACATTGTAAAATTGTCCAAATTTTCGGTACATAAAAGCTTTCCGATGTTGATTTGCCGAAAAACGAAATATATCAAATGTCATTTGTAGACATTTACAGTAGGACTTCAAAAAGCTTTTTCATAGTAAAATTTATTATTTTACCCAACCAATTGCTTCAGTATGCATAAGTAATCATTAATGATGATAGTACTCAAATATAAATCCTACTATAATTATCAAAATACTGATTTGATCGATGGGAAAAAGAGCTGAAATTGATATGGAATTAATATTTATATCTATTTTCAAAAATAATTGAAATATTTTACATTTCAGTATTGATGAGGATAATTCAAATTTCATTTAATTTTGGATGATTTAAATTTGATTTAATTTTACAACTTTCTGCATATCAATTTCATTTTATATAATTTATATTTAAAATCTTACTTCCTTTTTCTACCTGATATTAACAAAATTAACAAGTTTGTGGGGAAAAAAATGATGTAATTTAAAAATTTGACAATTTATCACATCTTTTAATAACTTTAAAATTCAAACGTATTTTATAATACTGCAAGTGTTTGAATATGTAATACGTATTACTTAAACTGTTCGAATAATCCAAGAGCTTTAACTTTGAAATCAGACAGATATTTATTTCGCTTACCTTTATTGCGTGATCGTAAATCGATAGTTTGAATATTTGTTGATTCAATAATTTCCATTCCATCATCCATTCGATATTCCTTGCTAAAATAAGTTTTCATTTCACTTCGACAGAAACACATGTAAACCATACTGAAGTTTTGTTTAAAAAAAAACAATGAGAAGATTCTCGTTGTAGCATCATTAGGGTCAATGTTGCGCAAGCTCACTGCACCTGTAAATATACCTTTTCCTATCTCTCAAATGCATATCACGCAACACGATGATATTCCAGTGGACGGGATGAAATCAAATGTCAGATACCCTCAAATTGGCTACTGCGCGCTTCTGTTTTTTACGCGATGAAAAAGGCAAATGAAGATAGGAAGAAGAATGGGGAAGCGAATGATGGCGCAATCGTCACCAAACGTTTTCATCTGTTCTTTGGGTCAACAATTACGATATTAGAAAGGGAAATTCGATTATTCATTTTATACCTTTCTCTTCTTCTTTTTTTAATTTTAAATTAAAAAGCTAACTTTGATTAAATTTATGATTAATTGCAATTTGATAATAATGCTAAAATATCATTCTCTATTCATCGTATTTTAATGATGTAAAGATGTCATATATAATTTCTATGAAATAATGAATTGAAAAATTTAATTGAAACAATAGAAAGATATAAATGAATCGATCGAAAATTATTAATTAAACTAATATGAAATGTTTAACAGCAAAAAATTTCATTATAAATCATTGAAAATAAACATTCGTAATCATTATTAAATCTTTATTATTTATTATATTCTTTATTAAATCTTCATTGTCTTTATTATTAAATCTTTAATTAAATTTTCAGTAAAATAATAAAAGCAAATAATTATAATCTTTGAAAAGCATTAATAAGCGTTCGTTTTTTATTAAAATAATGAAAGCAAATAATCGTAATCCTTGAAAAGCATTAAAAAAGCATTAGCTATAATTTACAAAATATTAAATCATTTCAGAATATTAAAAACGAACATTCATATTATTGTACAGTATTAAATTATAGTTAAAACAATAAAAATGATTAACGTGAAATTATTATCTGACGAAATCATTTTAGAATATGAAATGAAAAAATATATTCAAACTTTATTTTTAAAAAAATTTATGTAAATTTTTCAGCAGTTTTTATTGAAGCTTTATCATATAAAAAATTCTTATGAAAAAATTTAAAATTTAAATTAAAATTAAAAAACAAAAGAAATTGAATGCATAAAATATTTTGTTGCAAGCGTACGACAAAAAGGACAAACATAGTATTATAGTTATTTTACTTCGAAGTTTTTTTCATTAACCATTTCAAACTTTTATTATTACCTAATCTAACGATACGCTTAAAATATGAAATGAAAAAAAAACAGATAATTCCATTCTTGGTTTGTTCGTTGATTTTGATTAATTATAAACTACAATAAATTAAAATAAGCGTATAATCAATATGTTAAGCATGGCGAGCTGTAATTAAGAATAATGAAAAAAATCAATAAATTTTCAAAAATTAAAATTGCTAATATTTTTATTTGACTAATAGTAATCAATAATAATAATTAATAATAGTAGTAAGAAGAAGAAAATGAAAAAGTATTAAAGAAATGCAAAAATCGTATAAAGTAGAAATATTGCAAAGGTATAGAAGTTATAGTTTCAAATCGTTGTATTAGAATAGCAATTGTAATATAGAATTCTACTATCTATTTGGTTACTCGTTCTTTTTTCCCACAATTACGATAATAAATCATTCAGCAAATTAGTTATGCAGTACAGGTGTATGCGTAAATGCCTGCGTGCATAAGAGGGCAAGTATATATTCCTAAGCTTAACAACAACTGTTACTCATTTTTATGCATCATTTTGTGATAGTATCATACGTGTAAATGAAATGAGACATTTTCTTCATTTGCAATACTATTTCGCACTTATCTTCTCTAAGATAATTTTTAAAAATATTTAAGCATAGTATTATTCGGTGTCGAAACCTAAAAATTTTAATTTAATATTCATATTTTAAAATTTTTAGTCGAAGAAAAAGAGATGAAATCTTTAGAGAAATAATTTCAAAAGAATTACAAGTAATGTTATCATTAAAAAGTACCAATAAATTATAAAATCAAATTAATAAAAGTTGTTATTGCAATTTCTTAAAATTCATTTCCTTTCTATTTGATATTCAAATTTAATTTGTCCAATTTGCATTTCATTCTGATTAAATTTTAATATTCAAAAATCAATTCCATCAATTTGCATTTTATTTCAGTTTACCTGTAATTGTTTGCGCAGGTATAATTCGAAGCCAATATTTCTTTTCTATAAAAATAATATTATTAGCTTTATGTTCATTAGTTATCCATTTACCATGCGATAATTTTTAATATTTCAATTATATTAAATTAATATTATTTTTAGAAAATTTAAAGTTAACACTAGTTGAGAGTATAAGCATTATAGATGGATATGTAACATGATAGTCGGCAAATGAAGTGAGGTCATGATCCGAGCACGTATACAATCCTTTCTGGTAATTGATATGGCATTAATCGTGTAATAGGGAAAGAACTATTGATGTTAATACCATCTTAATACACCAAATAAATAATAATGATTAACAGCATTAAAACAATGATTAATTAATTTTAAAAGAATTAATATAATACTGAGAAATTATCTAGAAACTTCGCAATTAAATTGCAAAAATTATAATTTCATTGGTTGTAATATTACGTTGTAATATTGTGATATTACGCGATTACTGTTTGACCGATATTTTTCGCACATTTCAGCATTGCTAACTTATTATCAACAAGCATAAACTCATGTCGCGAAAGTCAAATAAATAATAATTTGCGCATTGCTAATTTATCACAAAGACATAATGAAGCATTCTTAATTTATCACAGACATAATTAAGCATTGTTAACCTGCCCAAATATATATTTACGCTGCTTAATAAGCAATGAATGCACATTTGCACATCATTAAGCAATTACATATGGCGCTGTTGGAAGAGTCAGGAAATGCAGACTTGCTCCACTTTTAAGCTGTCAATTAATATACATTGCAATGAATATTAAATCGTTTTCTCTCGAATTTGTGACAAAAAATTCATTAATATTCCTATGAATATCAATTTTTGTAAAGGTTTATTTGTTTTAGATTCTTTTAATTATTGTCTCTTTGTCTTTAATGAGTGGTTGTATTTTAAATTTTGTTTGTGCTTTTAACTTCTTAATTGGTTTAGTTCTTTATAATTTTTTAATTGCCTTTTTTAAGATTTATAATTTTTTAATTCTGGGAATTTTAGAATGGTTTATATTTTTAAGAATCGACTATAATTTCCATTTTATTTTGTTTACTGTCAAATAGAAAAGATCATTGCTTGTTATTATTTATTTTTTATACTTTGTTTTTTGGTATACACTATTTATTTTTGCGTAGACATGTTTATTAGTTTTTAAGCTTTGTTTACTTCTATTTATTTATATCTTATGAATTTAATTATTTCTTATGTTTGTGTTTTTTGGTAAGGTTTCAAAGTTTGTGTTAATATATTTTATAGATTTATAATTCTCTAAGATTCATGGAGAGGTCCCTAATAGAATAAATATTTGTTTTAGCTAAATTAGCTACTATGCAACTAAATGAAATTAAATGAAAAGTTATACACCAATGAAAACGCTCTATAATGGTTGCTGTCGAATAACTGAAAGTTTGTGTAGAAGTTATAATGCAGGCTAGAAACCTATCTGGGACATTAATTGCAGTTTGGCACCTCTCGAAAATGCGGATAACGGTTGTATGATGTCTTTAAAGTGTTCCTTTTAATCCAAAGATATATTATATCATTCTGAAGTAGGACGTATGCCATTTAAATTTTGAATCCATTTACCTTCTTCATAGAATAAAGATGTTAATTGTTGCAAGGATCTTTAAAGTATCTTTGTTCTGAAAACAACAAATTAAAAAATAAAACCGAATGACAACATATCAGTCTTTTTTCTACTTTATTTTCATACATTATTTAGCATCTTCTACATGAGATCTTCATAATGACATGACATTCATTTTAAAATGTGCTTCAATACCTAAAATGGACTAAATATTATTTGCTTAATTGTTGTGTGATATATATAAAAGCACAATTCTTCTAAGTACAAATAAAGGAAATCAAATTCAAATCCATTCATCCAATTTCATCAATCACTTTAAATAGTGGACAAAGCATAAACGATAGAAAAAAAATGTACAAATATAACTTAAGTCAACATAATACAATAATTTATAGTCCTGCGATGGTAATTATTCCCCTTATTGATATTTCTGTTTCAATGATATCTGATATCGATATCACTGAAGAGCTCACTGTAGAATATAGCTTTTTATCCGAACTTTTATGCACTTTCATGTGTCTATTCAAATTACATTTCTGAGTGAATTTCCAATCACACATTTCACATTCGAATAACCGCACGTTTCCATGTGTCAAATTATGTCTCTTCAGATTGCTGGAGCCTTTGAATGTTTTATTGCACACGTGACATTTGTGTGGTCGTACGTTTCCGTGCATCAATTTGTGTCTCAGCAGATTTGAATAGCATTTTAATACTTTACCGCATACGTTGCATTTCAGTATCTTTTCAATATCCGTATGTATCTTTATATGATCTTTCAGATAGCGACACTGTTTGAAAGCTTCATCGCACATAGCACATTTGAATGTTCGTTCGTTTCCGTGCGTCAATTTGTGTTTCTTCAAATCGTCAGGCCGTTTGAATGTTTTATTGCACACGTGACATTTGAATGGACGTTCGTTTCCGTGCATCAATTTATGTCTCTGCAGATCGCAGGACCATTTGAACGGTTTATTGCATACCTTGCATTCGAACCATTTTTTGATTGAATTCCCGTCATCAGGCACAGTCCTTATTTCGTCGTTATTACTTATTGCTGCTTGTATTGCCTCATCGCCTTCATTTGATACCTGGAATAACTCAAAATGATATGTATATTTAATTATTTTCCTGTAAATTTTGAGGAGTAATAATCAGAAGCATTGTGCAGATATCATTGTAGAATCTTTGATTGGCAACATTTCACTTCTGTATTTTAAAAGTAGTTTGGTGAATTTTAATAATTACTTGAAAAAATTGGAAGTTATGTTGCTGATTTAAGACAGAAGGATTAACAGAAATGATTCGGTGATTCAATGCACAAACTAATTGTGTTTCGCTTTTGGTATTAGCTATAGAAACACCATTTACAATAAACAAGTAATACATTAGGTAATGTTTAATTTTCCTTCACAGGAAGCCGATATTTTTGTCCTTAGCTGAGATTAAAAGCTTTGTGAATGCCTAATTTCTGTACTGAAAAGCAATATCTTATTCACTTACTGTTATTTGCGAGATGAACAACGGCAAAAAAGACAATTCAAAATAGTACGACAGATACATAATCGAAAAATGACAGGATGTGGAAATAGTCGAATCCTTTTTGGAAAATATTTTCAGCAGACAACCAATCTAATAAAGTGATATTTGCCATATTAACTGAGAGTGCCGTTTTTATGCATTCCGGTTAGGCGTATGATCTATGACCTAATATAATCATAAAATTTCAATCTTTTAGCATAATAATTTTGATTACACCTTAAAATTTTTTGTTAGCTACACTGAATAATAATAGTTTCATGCAAATGTGATTATAACTGGCAGCATTGTTCAGAATTGTCATCAAATCTCTTTAACTGCGAATAGAATGAAATCATTCGAAGAATATTTACAATAACTATTCCGAAATTATTAACATTCAAAATATTTGCCATTAGAATTATAACGTCATAGAATACTGCTTTTTGATGAAATAAAGCTTTTTAAATTTCAGTATAACCTGTTTCATAATTCAGAATTTAAAATCAATCATTGGAAATTCATTCATCGGAAATTCGACAAATTTAATCAGATATGAAATTTTGTGGAAAAAGGCTGCATTGTATGCATCGTATAATTTATTGTATTTGGAAAAATTCACCTCTGACCTCTTTGTTTGTAAAATTTTTGACTAAGTCAACATTGATAGTAAATAAAGAATGAAACATTTTTCGCTTCTCAATTAATCTTTTACTTTTTAGTTGCATAGTAGCTTATATTTCAATATATACTTTATCAATATATACTTCAATAGACTCATATATATATACTTCAATATATACACGTGTGGATATGATTGATGACAAATTTTTTCAATGTAATTATATTTTCGATGAATTAAATTAGCTGAAAGTTAGTCGTAAAATTTATTACCTTTCAGATGCACGTTAAATTATGCTTTCACACAACAGATATACGAAAGCATAACTGATTGTATTGATTTACTGATAAATGATGAAATATAAATAGCATAACTGATTGTATTGATGTATTGATAAATGATGAAGTATAAATAGCATAGCTGATGTATTAAAAAATAATGATATATAAATATATTATCATTATTAATATATTACAATTGTTTAAGTAAAAGATAAAATAGTTTCGAACTTTAAGTTATTTTAATAGCAATGCTTTATCGTTTTTTGGTGATGATAACACATTATATTATTGTGAATATTCTTCGAATGATTTCATTCTATTCGAGGTTGAAGAGATTTGGTGATAATTCCGAACAATGCTGCCAGTTGTAATCACATTTGCATAAAACTATTATTATTCAGTGTAACTAATAAAAAATTTTAGAGTGGAGTGAAAATTATTATGCTAAAAGATTATGGTTTTGTGACTACATTTGATCATAAATCATACGGCTTACCGGAATGCATAAAAACGGTCCCCTCAGTTAAAACGACAAGTATCACTTCATTAAATTGGTTGTTTGCTAAAAATATTTTTCGAAAAAAATTCGACTATTCCCGTCATTTCTTGATCATGCATCCGTCATATTATTTCGTATTGCTCGTCTTGCCGCTGTATGTCGCGCAAATAACGGTATGTAAGTAAGATATTGCTTCTCAGTATAAAAAATAGATATTAACAAAATTTTAATCTTAACTAAGGATAAAAATAGCTGCTTCTGATTAAGAAGAATTAAATATAAATTAAATTTTTCACATCTATTTCTCTGTTACCTCTAATTACTCGGTGTTTTGCGATCATTTCCTGCGCAAATAGCAAAAGCGAAACGCAAAAAGGTTGTACATTAAGTCGCAAAATCATTTTTATTGCATCGATCTGTTAATAATTCAGTCTCAAATCAACAATCACAATATAGCACAGTTGATACCTTTCAAAATTATTGTTACAATTCACTAAGCTATTTTTAAAATATAGAAGTGAATTGTTGCTATTCAAAGATTCTACAATGATATCTGCACAATGCTTCTGATTTTTGCTGCTCAAAATTCCCAGGAAAATAATTATCAAATATGTAAGCAAATCATTTTGGGCTATTTCAGGTATCAAATGAGGGAGATGAGGCAATACAAGCAGCAACAGGTAATGACGACGAAATAAGAACTGTGGCTGATGTCGGGAAAACAATCAAAAAATGGTTTGAATGCAAGGTGTGCAGTAGACCGTTTAAATGGTCCTGCGATCTGCAGAGACATAAATTGACGCACGGAGATGAACGGCCATTCGAATGTCACGTGTGCAATAAAACATTCAAAGAGTTCCGCGTTCTGAAGACACACCATTTGACACACGGAAACGAACAAACATTCAAATGTGCTATGTGCGATAAGGCTTTCAAACAGCGCCGCTATCTGAAAGTACATTTGAAGACACATACGGACATTGAAAAGATGCTGAAATGCAACGTATGTGGTAAAGCATTCGAATACTGTTCACGTCTGCTGAAGCACAAATTGATGCACGGAAATGAACGACCATTCAAATGTCACATGTGCAGTAAAACATTCGAAGAATCCGGGATTCTGAAGAAACACATGTTAACGCATGGAAACATGCGGCCATTCGGATGTGATGTGTGTGGTAGGAATTACACTCAGAAAGGTAATTTGAATAAACATATGAAAGCGCATAAAAGTTAGGATGAAAAGCTGTATTCTACAGTAAGCTCCTCAATGATATCGATATCAGATATCACTGATACGGAAATATTAATAAGGGAAATAATTAGATTCGCAAAAATATAGATTTCTCCATTTGTCTTAAGTAATATTTGTATTGCTTCTTTGCCATTTGTTCTTCGCCTGCTATTTCTTGATTGAATGTAAAAAGTGATTTATAAAATTGTACTTTGAAAATCTTAATAAAATTTTTGATGTAAATTTTTGAAAATTTGAACACTGGCTGTTAGCATCAAGAAAGCAACATTATTTTTCCGTTTCAATAAAATTAAAATTCGAAAAATATATAAACAAATTATACAGCACTGATAAATATATTGAACAATGTATTAAATTATGATCGGATGCGAGTGAAATCTTTGAATGATTGTTTGGTATTTTTTGATATTAATTCTTATGTAATTTAAAAACTTAAGATTCGAACAAAGAAATAAAGAAAAGAAAGAATTTATACCATTTCATTATCGGTAGAATGAATTTCAGATGAAAATTGTGGTTGCTCAACATTTTTAAGAATAATTCGATTACTGTAAAAGTTCTAAATATAAATGATTATTGTTGAGGGAGAAACAAGCATTAGATACCTTTAAATTTTCCAAAATTTATTTATCAACAAGCGAGAGAGTTTACAGATTTCGACAATATTATTTTTAGTTAATGTATTTAGCGAAAGCATTTAACTGCTGACAATTGCATATTATTACAAATCACATTGTTTATATATAACTGTAACATGTTGTTATGTTACAATGGAAGAAATTGTATTGTTTGGATAATTTAATTTTCATTTTAAATAATTATCAAACCTTTAGATATGTGGATATATGTGTGTGCATTTTTATGTATGTGTAATATGTGTGTATTCTTTATCGTTTATGTTTTGTTTACTATTTTCGGATTGAGTGTGAAAAATAAATGATGAAATTATATAAAAGTTTTGGATTTTGCAGAATTTTGAATTTTGAAAATTCTAAATAAAATTTTGATGTGAAATTTTCAAAATTTCATTACAATGGCATTATTCATACCATAAGAAATATTTATGCCAATTTTTTTTGACAGCCAATATTAACAGATCAATTTCAATCTTCCCAATCAGTCATTTCATAATTACTTACCATTTGCAAGATTTGAGAGTGTTATTCTCTTCATCAGGTCATCTTTAGACCATATACTTCGCGTTTTGATGACCTCCTGGTAGAGGCATATGGTGAATAATACCAAAATCGACTCGGCCTTAATTCCTCATTGATAATTTGTTCCCAACAATGTTATAATATTTCAGATAATTGTATGCATTTATTATTCATAAAGAAAAAAAATTATAGATCCTACCTGTTCTTAAAATCTATAAACTTACCATTTCTTAATACTTACCTTTCCTTCTTATCAATTCCTTCATGTCCAATATACCACTTGTTGACATTTTCTCCATCTAATTAACATTAAATTATTCTTAATGATATCATTAATTTAATTTTATGAATATCGAATTATCCCTAATTTTAAATACTTATCACTTAAGAATAATCTATGTTTTTCTTACCTAAAAGCATTTAAATCCTAATAATTCATACTCTCATATCAAATGTATTATTATCTAAGCATGATAATCCACTGAATCAAACTATTTTGCATCAACGGTTTAATTTAGGTACGATCGTCAATATTTCAATTTAATTTACTAGTCTAATATTTTGCAATCTTGGGTCGAACGTTCTCAATTAAGATCGATCGTCCAATTATTCGTCTTTAAATTCCAATCAAGATCGACCGTCCATTATCCGTCTTCAAATCCCAATATTTCACATTCTTATGTCAAACGCTTTGTTCAAATTTAATCATTCATAAATTCAACTCAATTTGTCCATATTTCAAATCTTACAGTCAGATGTTCAACTTTTTACATTCAATCAGGAAACAGCAAGCAAAGAAATGGCAACGAAACAGTACACACAGTACAATAATTTATAGTCCGCTGTAGATATCATTAGGCAGCTTGCAGTAGAATACAGCTTTTTACTCTTACATTTATAAGTATTAATGTGTTCTTCCAATTTATCACATTTGGATAGTCGTGTGTTTCCGTGCGTCAATTGATGTCTCCTCAGATTTCCGAATGGTTCATTGCGCACGTAACATTTGAATGGTCGCTCGTTACCGTGCGTCGATTGGTGACCCTTCAGATTGCCAAACCGCTCGAAAGTTTTATTGCACATGTGATATTTGGATGGTCCAATGTTAACGTGCGCCAATTTATGTTTCTTCAGACTGTCGGATCTTTATTGCACAACTTCCATATATAATTTTTTTCCATCGGTATGTACCATCTTATGGCGTTTCAGAGTGCCTGAACATCCAAACTTCATATCGCATACCTCACATTTGTATCGTTTTTCGTTTGCTTTCCCGTCATCAGTCACAGTCCTTATTTCGTCGTCATCTCTTGTTACTGCTTGTATTGCCTCATCGCCTCCATTTGATATCTGAAATAACCCAAAATGATTTGTTAATGTATTTATTATTTTCCTGCGAATTTTGAGCAGCAATATTCAGAGGCATTGTGCAGATATCACTGTAGAATCATTGATTGGCAACAATTCATTTCCATATTTTAAAAAAAGCTTGGTGAATTGTAATAATAATATGGAAAAAGTATTAGTTGTGCCATACTGTGACAGTTAATTTGAGACAGAAGGATTAACAGATCGATGTAATAAAAATAGTTCGGTGATTCTCTTACTTTTCACTTTGATTTTTGCTATGGGATATGATCGCAAAACACAGAGTATTAAGAGCACACAGGAGGCAGATGTTTTTGTCCTTATCTAAGACTAAAAACTGTGAATATTTTATTTCTATACTGAGAAGCAATATATTATTCACATACCGTTATTTGCGCGACGTATAACGGCAGAGTAAGCAGTACGAAACAGTACGACAAATACATAATCGAGAAATGATAGGATGTGGAAATAGTCGAATTCTTTTTGGAAAACATTTTTAGCAGACAATCAATCTAATGAAGTGATATTTGTCGTATTAACTGAGAGGACCGTTTTTATGCATTCCGGTAAGCCATATGATCTCTGACCAAATATAATCACAAAGCTCTGGTCTTTTCGCATAATGTTTTTCACTCCTCCCTAAAATTTTTTGTAAGTTACAATGAATAATAATAGTTTCATGCAAATGTGATTATAACTGGCAGCATTGTTCAGAATTGTCACCAAATCATTTCAACTCAGAATTCAATGAGATCATTCGAAGGGAATACATAATAATACGTTTAAAACAATCAATTTCAATAAAAGTATACAATATTTGTTTCGGTTATTCAAAAATCAATAGTAATAGAAATTAAAAGATCGATTATATTTAAAACAATGGCTTATTGAAAGCTTTGAAGATTACTGGCGTTGAAGATTTATACGAATAACGTTTAGAAATTAAAATAGCAAATATTTTGAATGTTAATAATTTCAAAATAGTTTCGAACTTCAAATAATTTTAATAGCAATGCTTTATCGTTCATTGGTGGTAATTATACATTGCATTATTGTGAAATCATTCTTCGAATGATTTCATTCGAATGAGACTTCGAATGAGATTTCTTGACAATTCTGAACAATGCTGCCAGTAATAATTGCATTTGCATGAAACTATTATTATTCAGCATAACTAACAAAATATTTTACAGAGGAGTGAAAATTATTATGCGAAAAGACTGGAGCTTTGTGATCATATTTGGTCGTAGATCATACGGCTTACCGGAATGCATAAAAACGGCCCTCTCAGTTAATACGACAAATATCACTTCATTAGATTGGTTGTCTGCTAAAAATACTTTTTCGAAATGAATTCGACGATTTGCAGATCTCATCATTTCTCTATTATGTATCTGTCGTACTATTCCGTAGTGTTCGTTTTGCCGTTGTGCATCTCGCAAATAACGGTATGTGAATGTTTCCTTTCACTATAGAAATTAAATATTCGCAAGATTTTTTATCGTAGCTAAGGACAAAAATAGCTGCTTCGTATGAAGAAAAACTGAATAGAGATTGAATTTTTCATATCTATTTCTCTGATACTTCTAAATACTCGGCGCTTCGCGATCGTTTCCTATAGCAAATACAAAAAGCGAAACCAAAAATGTGCATTGAATCACCAAATCATTTTTGATATAGCGTTCTGTTAATTACCATTTTGAGTTGTTCCAGGTGTCAAATGAAGGCGCTCAGCCAATACAAGCTGGACCAGGAAGTGAAGGCAAAATGAGGACTGTGGCAAATGATAATAAAGCGAGCGAAAAACGGTACAAATGTGAGGTATGCGGTATGCAATTCGAATATTCAGGCACTTTGAAATGTCATAAGATGATACATACCGATAAAAAAAATTACACATGTAAGGTATGCAATAAAGCGTTCCAAAGGTCGGACAATCTAATGAGTCACCGATTGATGCATGGAAACGAACGACCATTCAAATGTTACGTGTGCGATAAAACGTTCAAACGATCTGGCGATTTGAAGAAACACAATTTGACGCACGGAAACGAACGACCATTCAAATGTCACGTATGCAATAATACATTCAAAGAGTCCCGTAATTTGAAGAAACATAATTTGACTCACGGAAGCGAACGACCATTCAAATGTGAAGCATGTGGTAGAAATTTCATTCGGAAAGATGATTTGAATAAACACATTAAAAGGCATAAAAGTTCGGATGAAAAGCTACATTCTACAGTAAGCTCCTTAATGATATCGATATCAGATTACATTGAAACAGAAATATCAATAAGGGAAATAAATACATTCGCAGGACTATAAATTATTATATTGTATTGGCTTATGTTATATTTGTGCTGTTCTTTTGCCATTTATGCTTTATTCACTACTTTTTAATTGAATGTCAAAGAAGGCAACAATATTTTTCCATTTCACTAAACAAATTATAACATAAAAATGAATGATATTCATAGATACAATATTTGGTTTAAAATTTAATTAAAATCATAAAATACCTAAAATTTAAAATTTAATTGAAACCATAGAATTGAATGGTATTCATTGATGTAATATTTCCTTCGATGCCATAATGTATGTTGAAATGTTCACGTGAAGGTTGCCATTTCAACATTTATCAGAAAAAATACGCTAATGAAATTCGATATTTAAATGTTGCTATACTTTTTTGGTGTGAAGAAAAATTGCCGAAAATACATTTGCATAGAATCTATCAATGAATATCCAGTCCTAATCAAATATGAAATTTATTCGATAAAAGCTGCTATTGTATACATTGTACAGTTTTATTTGGAAAGATTCATCTTTGACCTCTTTGTTTGTAGGAATTTCTGTGCAGATCAACAATGAAGAATAAAATATTTTTCAAACTTTTCAATCAATTCTTTACATTTTAGTTGCATAAAAGCAAAGTTAATCAATGAAACAAACTGATTGATTCGTTGAAAAACGTTGAAATTTTTTCTACTGAAATTGCATAATTTCATTCTTTTCTTTATTTTTTTCTTCGAATCACAAGTTCTTATATAATATAAGAACTAATCATAAAAAATATCAAACAATCATTCAGACATTTCATTTACTTGCGATCTCAGTTTAATACGTTGTATACATTTTTCGAATTTTAATTTTAGTTCAAAATTTTATGTACAATTTCATCAATCACTTTTTACATTCAATCGAGGAATAGCAAGCAAAGAACAAATGGCAAAGAAACAGTACAAATATAACTTAAGCCAATACAATAACAATAATTTATAGTATTGCGAATGTAATTATTTCTCTTATTGATATTTCTGTGTCAATGATATCTGATATCACTACCTTTAAGGGGCATACTGTAAAACATAGCTTTTTAATCAAGCTTTTATGCGTATTAATGTGTTTTTTCAATTTATCCTTTCGAGTAAAAGTCATACTACATCCTTCGCATTTGAATGGTCGTACGTTTCCGTGTGTCAATTGATGTCTCTTCAGATTGCCAGACTTTCCGAACGGTTTATTGCACACGTAACATTTGACTGGCCGCTCGTTCCGGTGCATCAATTGGTGTCTTTTCAGATTGCCAAACCACTCGAAAGTTTTATTGCACACGTGACATTTGGATAGCCGCATGTTTCCGTGAGCCATTTTGTGTTTCTTCAGACTGTCGGATCTTTTGTACGCTTTATTGCATACGTTACATATGTATTTTTTTTCATCGGTATGTACGATTTTATGGCGTTTCAGAGTGCTTGAATATCCGAATTGCTTATCGCATACTTCACATTTGTATCGTTTTTCTTTCGCTCTACTGTCATCACCCACAGTCATTATTTCGTTGTCATTTCTTATTGCTGTTTGTATTGCCTCATCGCCTTCATTTGATACCTGAAATAAACGAAAATGATTTACTTATATATTTGATAATTTTTCGGTGATTTTTTGAACAGTAATGATCAAAGGCATTGCGTAGATATCATTTTAGAATCTTTAATGGCAACAATTCACTTCTATATTATAAAAGCAGCTCAATAAACTGCAATAATAATTTGGAAAAGTATCAGTTGTGCTATATTGTGACAGTCAATTTGAGACAGAAGGATTAATAGATCAATGCAATAAAAATGATTTGGCGATTCAATGCATAAACTTTTTGCGTTTCGCTTTTGGTATTTGCGCAGGAAATGATCGCAAAATGCCGAGTATTTAAGTGACAGAGAAATACATATGAAAAATTTAACTTTTATTTAATTTATTTTCCTTTATACGAAGCAGCTATTTTTGTCCTTAGCAGATAAAAAATCTTGCGAACATTTAATTTCTGTACGGCAATATCTTATTCACATACCGTTATTTGTGAGATGTACAACGGCAAAACACACAATACGAAATAGTATGAAAGGTACATGATCGAGAAATGCGGGATGTAGAAATAGTCGAATTCTTTTTGAAAAATGTTTTTAGCAGACGACCAATCTAATGAAGTGATATTTGTCGTATTAGATGTGGACCTTTTTTATGCATTCCCGTAAGCCATATGATCTATGGCCAAATAAAATCATAAAGCTTCAGTCTTTTCGCATAAAAATTTTTTATTAGTTACAATGAATAATAATAGTTTCATGCAAATGTAATTATAACTGGCAGCATTGTTCAGAATTGTCACCAAATCTCTTCAACTCCGAGTGGAATGAAATCATTCGAAGAATATTCACAATAATGTAATGTAATTTGAAGTTCGAAACTATTTCGAAATTATTAACATTCATTTGCCACAGAATCAATCAATGGAAATTCTTCAAGTTTATTCAAATATGAAACTTATTTGAAAAATGCTGCCATTGCATTCATGAATAATGGTAATTAATAGTTTTTTCAAATATTTTATTCTATATATGAAAGATGCGATGACTGCACGTTACATAATTCTGAATATTCTTCGAATGATTTCATTCTACTGGGGATTGAAGAGATTTGGTGACAATTCTGAACAATGCTGCCAGTTATAATCACATTTGCATGAAACTATCATCATTCAGTGTAACTAACAAAAAATATTAGATTGGAATGAAAATTATAATGCGAAAAGACTGGAGCTTTGTGATTATATTTGGTCATAGATCATGCGGCTTACCGGAATGCATAAAAGCGGTCCTCTCAGCTAATGCGACAAATATCACCTCATTAGATTGGTGGTCTGCCATAAACATTTTTCGAAAAGAATTCGACTATTTCCACATCCCGTATTTCTCGATCATGTACCTGTCATACTATTTCGTATTATATGTTTTGCCGTTGTACATCTCGCAAATAACGGTATGTGAGTAAGACATTGCTTTCAGGAAAGAAATTAAATATTCGCAAAGTTTTTAATCTCAGCTACAGACAAAAACAGTTGCTTCTGTGAAAGAAAAATAAATTTTTCCTTTCTTATCCATTTCCCTGTTTCTTATAAATTGTCAGTGTCTTGCGATCATTTCCTATAACCAATATTAAAAGCGAAACACAATAAGTTTGCGCAATTGAATCACCGAATCATTTTTGTTATATCGTTATCTTAATCCTTTTGTCTTAAATCAACAGCACAACTAGCACTTTTTTCAAATTACTATTGCATTTTACCAAGCTATTTTTAAAATACAGAAGTGAATTGTTGCCATTAAAAGATTCTACAATGATATCTGCACAATGCCTTTGATTGCTGCTCAAAAATCATAGAAAAATAATAATCGAATATATTAACAAACCAATTTGGGTTATTTAAGGTATCAAATGAAGGCGATGAGGCAATACAAGCAGTGACAAGAAATGACGACGAAATAAGGACTGTGGCTAATGACGGAAAAGCAATCAAAAAATGGTGCGAATGTAAGGTATGCAATAAACCGTTCAAATGGTCCAGCGATCTGGAAAGACATGGACTGAAGCACAGGAACGAACGACCATTCAAATGTCACGTGTGCAATAAAACATTCAAAGAATTCCGCGTTCTGAAGATACACCATTTGACGCACGGAAACGGACGAAAATTCAAATGTGCTATGTGCGATAAGGCTTTCAAACAGCGCCGCTATCTGAAAAGACATATGAAGGCACATAAGGACATTGAAAAGACGCTGAAATGCGACGTATGCGGTAAAGCATTCGAATACAGTTCACGTCTGCAGAGACACAAATTGATACACGGAAATGAACGACCATTCAAATGTCACATGTGCAATAAAACATTCAAAGTATCCCAAAATCTGAAGATGCACATATTGACGCATGGAAACGTGCAGCTATTGGAATGTAAAGTATGTAGTAGGAATTTCACTCAGAAAGGTAATTT